TGCAATGTTGCCATTGGCTGTCCGGCTGGCATTCCAGCGGACAGACTCGCCGCCGCCTGCTGCTCCGAGGTGCAGGCGGGAGCTGAAGCAGGTCAAGGCCGGGCAGAGCGATGCGGCCGGCTTCCTGCTCAAGTGCCTGGCGGACGTGCGGCAGGAGCTGCTGGCGGGCCGGGAGCGTACCGTGCTGGTGGCTGCCGCCGCCGTCAAGGGCAGTCCAACTCAGCAGCAGCAGCAGCAGCAGGCATCCAGCGAGGACGGCAGAGCAGGAGAGGCATCCCCGGCTGCTGCGGTTGCGGCAGCAGCTGCGGCGGAAGCCAGTGCTGCGCCGCTGCTGCTGGCGGAGCTATCGGTGCAGCAGCGGCAGGCTACGCTGCATCGGCTGCTGCAGCTGGTGCGGCCAGACTGGCAGGACAGCGAGGGCCTGGTGCTGCACTCCAGCAGCTCTCCCTCCACCTCCTCGATCAGCCTGCTGGCAGAGGCCAGCTCCGTGGCCTGGTCGGCACGCGGGGTGCCATCCCAGCCCAGCGCTCGCACCCTGGCAGGGAAGGAGCAGGGCTGCCACCCGGGGCGCCTGGCGGCCTGCCCCCTGCAGGCGGCGTCGTTTGCGTGCAGCGGCAGCGCGGGGTGCTTGGCGGGTGACGACGGCGGGGCGGCGGGCTGCAAGCCGGCGCCAGCGCCTGCCAGCGCCGAGCTGATGCAGCGGGTGCGGTCGGAGGTGCGGCCCTGGGGAGAGGGGGGGGCCAGCCCTCGAGGCGGCGCCAGGCCGCCGCGCGAGCGGGGCTGAATATCCCTGAGTCGATAGTTGGTCTTCAGGTTGTAAACGAGCCGCTCTTCAAGTTGTAAGCTTAGCTTACAAGCGAGCCTCGGCAGGCGTGACTGCCGAGGTGTTGCATTATAGGTGCGCCGATGCCGGATGCCATTGAGGGCAGAAGAGTGACATGCAATCTCCTTGCGCCACATCCACAGCAACAGGTTCGATAGAATGGCGTGCAGTCTTTTGCAAGCAGACATTGAGCCTCGAGCTGGCGGCGACCTGGCGGGCGGTGCTGGGAAGACAACCCTATTGCTCTGCGCCGTTTCCCGGCCTGCGCACAATTCTTCTAACGAGTGTCGAAATGCGGCAGGCCTTCAGGTGCCTCCTGCGCCAGCTGAGCGCCCAAGCCAGGCCGGGCTGCGCTGTTGCGGCTAGGGCGCTGGACAGCAGCCTGCCCACAGCCTCGGCACGCGGATTAGAAGGCGTCGCGGCAGCAGCTGCACTGCGGCGCCCCTGGTGTACCCGCAGCTTCGGCGCCGAGGGCGGCAGCAGCGGCAGCGGGGGCGCCAGCGGCCCTGACCAGCAGGCGGAGGCGGCCTGGGAGGCGGCCAGCAGCCTGTCGGCCCAGGCGACGGAGATGGCGGAGGGAGGGGATCTGGATGGCGCCAAGCGGGTGCTGAGGGGGCAGCTGCCGGAGCTGGTGGACAAGTATGGCGCCGACGACCCGTCGGTTGGGCTCATCCACAACCAGCTCTCCCTGTGGGACTTCTTCGACGGGGCAAGTGAACCAGCAGAGGCGCCGTCGCAGCAGGCAGCGCCAGCGAGCCGGACCGTCGGTCATGGCTGGAAGCTGGCGGGCTGGCGGGCCCGTCGCAATGCGCCACACGCCATGCCCCGGGCGGGGCATTCCCCCCACGCCCAGGTGGCTCCCAACAGGGTTGCCCCTTCCCCCGAATGCACCACACCTGCTGCCTGCAGGACTATGGCGAGGCTGTGGACCAGGCACGCGCCGCGCACCAAGTGTGGGCCAAGCAGGCGGGGGAGGACAGCCCGGCGGCGGCCTTCCACGGCATCCGCCTCGGCATGGCCCTGGCAGGTTAGGCCTGCCGCACCTGGCAGAACACAAGCAGGATGTTTGCGTGCAGCGCTGCCTCAAGCGCTGCAGGGATAACATTCCACGGCTGCGAGACGTCTGCCGCCCCCCGCGTGTCTGCCTGCAGCCGACGGGCGGCCCGAGGAGGCGTTCCCACTGCTGGAGCAGGGGCTGACGGTTGCGGTGGACAACTTCAACCAGCACGTGAGGCACGGGGAGGGGAGGGGACACGCAGGGGTATTCAGGCAATGAAGGCAGCGGTGGCATCGCACAGCACATATGATGTGGAAGGGACCATTATACGCTGCTCAGCCCGTACTGTCGGCAGGAGCTGCTGGCTACATGTGTAGCAATTTTGTGCGTGTGGTAATGATTTCAACCCCAGTACTCCCTGTCGGCCCTACGCCTGCCCTTCATCTGCTGCCCCCGCCCACCCGCAGCTCTCCAAGCTGGAGCAGCTGCAGCCGCTGGCCGAGGACGGCGAGGCGGCGGCAGAGGGGGCGTCGGCGGCAGACGACGAGGCCATGGCGGCGCGGGCGCAGCAGCAGCATGTGGTGAGCGCTGAGGGCTGAGGGCCCGCCTGGCTGCGCCCCTCCATGGCATGCTCCCTCGCTCCTGACCTCCCAAGATCCCCATCTCGGCATGGACTGTATACACTCCATTCCTCTCTGCCCGCCTCCACCCCACCGCCGCTCCCATCCCATCCCATCACAGCAGCACATGCCCCCTCCCCGCCCCTGCAGTCCCTCGTGATGCTGGACAACCTGGGCAGGGCGCTGCAGGAGGCCAAGTTCTACCGTGCCCTCAGGTACCCCACTGGGGTTGGTTGGCTTGGCTGCCTTGGTTTGGGTGATTTGGGTGATGTATGTTTGTGTCTGTAGTAGGACTAATTCGCGACACAGAGCAGCGGCTGGGCGCTCCGTCTCACCTCCCAGCCCTCTGCTGGCTCCCGCGTGAGCACCAGCGGCGGCCAGCGGTACGCTCACGGCTGCCGCCGCGTCTCCCTGCCCGCAGCTTCCTCGGCGTGTCTGGGCGGGAGATGGATGCCACGTGGGATGACAAGGGGGCGGGCGCCGCGTTCTTCCTGCAGCAAGAAATGAGCGATGCGGTGACGGGTGCGCCGCCGCTGGCAGCGCGAGGGCTGGTGCTGGGCTGGCCTGGGAGGTGGCTGCCGTCGTGTTTTTTTGCTTGTGCTGGTGACCGTGAGACCTGCCCTCTTGGCACTTCCCTCGGCCCTTCCCCCTCTGGTGCAGACATGCTGCGATGGGTGATGCCTAACCACCCGACTGTGCAGTGCATGCTGCGGGAGCACGGCAGGCACGTCGGGCTGCCAGGAGCCCCAGCCAGCCGCTCATGCATCCTTTCTCAGCACCTCCGCCTGCTCAGAAACCACATCAAGCTGCACCCCTCGCACACACCAGCCCTTTCCTGCCCTCCACACCTCCACACACGCACGCATCACATCACACCACACCAACCCGGCCAACACGCAAGGCCCTTGCCCCTGCCCTGCAGGCTGGTGGCGCAGTGCGAGAAGGTGGGGCTGCGGAGGCTGCATGACGACCTCCAGATCCACGGCCAGCGGCTGCAGGACCTTGTGCACGAGGCCACCAGCTCCAAGGACGGATGATGGGCTGGCTGCTGCTGGCATGGCGAGGGTCCCCGGCGTGTGTGACTCAACTCCCCGGCAACAAGCCTCAGTAGCCCCTGCTGGCCCTGCCCGCATCTGTGACAGATGCCTGGCTTGTATCAAACAGTCGGGCAGCAGGTGCGGCAGGTTGGGTGTTGCTGTGGAAACTGGGCACGTCATGGTCAGGTTTGGAGGAGGAGCTCAGCTGTGTCCCCAAGTTTGACCCCTCATGGTTGAGGCAGGACGAGGGCCGCCATCTCCTGCCTCAGCAGGCGCAGCAGCACCGCACGAATGGGGGCAAACGATCGTTCCCATGCCTCATCGTTATCCCCATCAACCCACAAATGGCCTGGCATGCCGCGTGCGCCCCTGGCGCTCCCCACCAGCTCGACCGCGCGGTGTTTCGCGGCCTGGGGAGGCCCAGCCGGCGCTGCTGCGCGGCACCGCACCCGCCTTGGGAAGGCGGCAGCCCAGCCGGGAAGGTCTACCTTGTAGGGGCGGGACCTGGCCCAGCCGACCTGCTGACGGCGAGTCCCGCCTGCCGCACCGCCCTGTGCCTCACTGCCTCGGCTTCCAACCCGCCGTGCGCTTGCTGGCCCGCAGGTACGGGCCACGCAGCTGCTGCAGCAGGCGGAGGTGGTGGTCTTCGATGACCTGGGTGCTGCAGCAGCTGTGGAGCAATATGCGCCACCGGCTGCGCAGCGCGTGTTTGTGGGCAAGCGCGGCGGCAGGCCCTCCATCAGGCAGGTACAGATTCCAGCCGCCGGCGCGCCCTACCTGTTAAGAAGAAGAGAGGAAATTCAATTGATCTTTATTTATCTGACTCTCTCCAGGCCGAAATAGATGCCATCATCGTGCAGCACGCGACAGCTGGCAGGATGGTGGTGCGGCTCAAGGGCGGCTGCCCCAGCGTGTTTAGCAGGGTGAGGCGGGCTGGCCGGCCAGGCCAGGCCAGGAATCTGGAATGCAGAATGAGCAGCTTGTGCGGGATCAGCTTTACCTGCTTGTGCTTGCCTTGTACTTGTTGACCGCCGCCTGCCCAAACCCAATCTGCCCTGTGCAGGTGCACTCCGAGATGGCAGCACTGCAGGCAGCCGGAGTGGAGTATGAGGTCTGCCCGGGCGTCTCCTCGGCGCTGGCGGCGCCCCTCGCAGCCGGCTTCCCGCTGACCCACCCTCAGCTCAGCCGGGCGTTTGCAGTCACCTCTGCCCACGACCCTGCCTCCCTAGACTGGCAAGCACTGGCGGTGAGGCAGCTGTGCCTGGTGCTGGCTGCTCCTTGCCTCGCCAGCTGCTGCAGATGGCAGAGGGGCATCCTGCTCTGGGCGGGGCAAGTGGCTTGCGTTGTTCTTGGCAGCGCTGGAGCCCAGCTTTCGCTGGCTGTCGCGGCCCCCTGTCTTGAGCTCTCTCCTCTGCTGCTGCGCTGCCGCCGCCGGCGCAGGCGATAGACACGCTGGTCCTCCTCATGGGTGGCAGCAGCCTGGCGTTGGTGGTGGAGCAGCTGCAGCGGCACGGGCGGGCGGCTGAGACGCCGGTGGCGGTGGTGCGAGAGGCTGCGCTGCCCACGCAGGCGGCCTGGCGAGGCACGCTGGGCAGCATTGTGAGCCAGACGGCGGGCGAGACGCTGTCGCCTTGCATCATTATCGTGGGTCATGTTGCGTCGCTGCCTATGCCATCCCTGTGACACCGATCCACAAGACCACAAGGGGAGTGTGGCGCCCCAGCGGCGGCAGCAGGGCGGCGGCACGTCACACCGGCCGTCATGCATTACCCGCTCATGGGCGCTTGCTGCTATCCACATCGCACATCCACTCTTTCTGAGGCACGCGGTGGCCTGTCCCACCCCGGGTTTGGGTGCGCCGTGCTCAGCCCGTCAGCAGGTGGGTGGACAGGCGCTGCGGCAGCTCGCATTCGCAAGAGTAATATGTGTACACGCATCGAGTGCCGCTGCGCACGGGTTTGCTGGTGCCCGCCCATGCCATGTTTGGCTCACCGACGCTCCCCGCCCCGCAGATGCAACTTGCTCTTGCAGCAGTACGCACCGCTACCCAGCAGCTCAGGATGGCCGCCAGCATGTTGCGGCCAGCCGCCGCCGCCGCCAGTCGCGGCGCCGCCCCTCGCCTGCCGCCGCTGCTGCGGGCGGGGCCCGCGCTGCGCCGCGTCGTGCCCAGCACGGCAACCTTGCTGGGAGCCGACACGCTGCAAGGCGGGCTGATGTCGCGGCGGCTGCAGCGTGCGCTCAGTGCGTCGGCAGCGGCCCAGGCAGGCGAGCCTGAACCCGAGCCCAGCGCTGCTGGTGCCGAAGGCTCGCAGGCGCCTGAACAGGTGTGTGGTCACCCGCCAGCCGCAGCCCGGCAGCCTTTGCGACTGCCAGCACTCCCTCAAGCACGCGTGCCGCGAGCTTGCTGACCTGGCCACCACCTGGCGCGTGCCAAGGCCGCTCTCGTGCTAATCGCTGCCTCGCCCTGGCCTTGGCTGCAGGAGGCGTGCCGGGAGGAGTATGTGGTGGTCAACTTTTACCACCTGGTGGACATCCCGCGCCCCCACGAGGTCATCAACAACCACCGGGCGTGGATGGAGGGGCGGGAGGTGCGCGGCCGCATCTACATCTCCGAGCAGGGTATCAACGCACAGTACGGCGGGCTGCGGAAAGACGCAGAGGGCTACGCGCGCTGGCTGGCCGACACGCAGCCGCTATTCAAGGTGGGCCGCATGGCTGCCGGGCGGCCGGCCAGCTCGCCAGGCTGAGGGTGTGCTGACCTGTCGGGCGGGGTGGCACCGGCGGGCGACGGCTGGCAGGCGGGCGGCGAGGCAGGCCTCTCTTCCCCTGCTTCTCTCGCTCTTGAACAACACCGCCAGTGCTTCCCGGCCTTGGCACGCGTCCCTGGCGCAGGGCCTGTTGTACACCGTGTGGCCTGTGGAGGGCCACCAGTATCCCAAGCTGCGCCTCAAGTACCGCCCAAACCTCATCTCGCTGGCGGGAGGCATGCAGGCGCTGCCCATCACAGACCCGGCCGCCCGCGCCATCCCCACCCCGGTGCGCTCGCCCCTCCCGCATGCATGTCATGCCACGGTCCGAGGCAGGGCGGATCCCCGCTGCGCTGCGCCTGCTGCTTCGCCCCGCGCCGCCCCTGCCAGCGAGCCTGCTGCCGGTTCTGGGGCCGCGCAGCCGTCGCCGCCGTCGCCGCTGCCGTGTGCCTGCCTGCCTCCCTCCTCTTCCCGCGTCCACCTCCTCACCCCTCCCCTTGTCTCCCTCTGCTTCCCGGCAGCCCACCGAGTGGAAGCGCATGCTCAGTGAGGGGCAGCGAACGGGCGAGATGCCGCTGGTGCTGGACGTGCGCAACAGCTACGAGTGGGACGCGGGGCACTTTGTGGGCGCGGAGCGGCCGCTGGAGGTGGGTATCTGGGTATCCCGGCGGGGCAGGGCAGGGCAGTGTCCCGCCTGCAAGGGGGTAGGCGGTGCCATGTCGGGCATGCGGGGCTTGACAGGCAGGCTGCAGCTGCGCCCGCGCCGGCTGTCATCCCTTTGCCCCATGCCACTGCCTTGGCTTGGCTTGCGCTGTCGTCACCCCCGGCGTGATACTGCCGGTACCGCCTGCAGGACAACTTCCACGAGACCCCCACCGAGGCGCTTCCGGTGGAGGTGCCCCCCCTTCTGGAGGTGGGTGGGTGGCTGCCGTGCAGCCTTGCCACCTGCCGCCGCCGCCGCTGCTGCTGCTGGCTCAATCTGCACCGCATGCGACACCATTGCCGCCTGCCCTCCTGCCACAGAACGCCGACCCCGACCGACCAGTCATGATTTACTGCACTGGCGGCATCCGCTGCGACGTCTATGGCACCTATCTGCGCAAGAAGGGGTGAGAGTGCGGCGCTGCCATGCTGCCGCCGCCAGCGTGCCCAGCTGCGCCAGCCACTTTCCACCAGGGCGTAGCAGCTGCCGCAGCGTGCTTGCCACAGCTCTCATCTTTCCGGCGCGTGTCCTTCTCTGCCGCAGCCGTCCCTGCTGTTGTTTGCTCTGCCGCAGCCGAAATCCATGCCCCTGCCCCTAACCTTGCCCCCAACCGTGCCCCTCTCCTTGCCACCCCACAGCTTCAACAAGCTGTACACTCTGGAGGGAGGCATCCAGAACTACATGCGGGAAGAGGGGCTGGACCATTGGAACGGCTCCCTGTTTGTGTTTGACGGGCGCATGGCCATCCGGCCCAGTGAGTCGCGGCATGTGGCTTGTCTGTTGTGGAGGGAGCTGCTCCTGCAAGCGGCCACCTGCCTGCTGAGCTCCTTTCTACCCCACGGCGACTCGTCAGCCTTGGCTGCCTACCTGCCGCGCCTCCTCCCTGGCCGAAAGCTGCCGCCTCATCCCCTCTGCAGACAAAGACAAGGAGGAAGAGCTGGAGGCGGCGGCGCCGTGCCAAGTGTGCGGCGCCACTGCCGTGCTGCCTCACATGAACTGCGCAAACATCGATGTGGGTGCTTGCTTGGTGGTACCTTTGTTTTAGGGGTGGGCCCCTGCCTGTGTGCTGGCGGCCTTGTTTCCGCGTTCTGCGTTGTGCGGCGTGGGCTTGCCTTCCTCGCAGCGTGCTGCTGCAACCTTGGATCATTCTCTCCCTGCCTGTTTACCGTATGCAGTGCAACAAGCTTTTCATTGCCTGCGATGCCTGCAAGGTGGGCAGGCAGGGCGGGGCCGGCAGGAGGCAATACAACCAGCCCGGCTGCTGCTGCTGGCGGCACATGCTGCAGGCCCCCTCCCATGCACCAGCGACCCGACACCGCACCAACCGACCTTCCACTTCGTTGCCTGCCCACCCTGCGCTGCCCCGCCCGTGCGCTGCAGACCAAGTTCAGCGGCTGCTGCTGCGAGGCGTGCACGGCGGCGCCGCGCCTGCTGCGCCCCGCAAAGACGCAAGGCCTGTACGGCAACTGGAGTCAGTACATCGACGGAGAGGGTGCGCTCGTACCGCATGCAGTGCACGCACCGCTGGCCCCGCGCCGCTGTGGCGCCACCTGGCTGACCCCTGGCCTGTTGCACCACCGCTGCTCGCCGCTCCAGCGCAAGCTGCCATGTGCCTTGGCCATGACACGTGTCTTCCATGCCCCATCATTCAAGGGGCACTGCCACACCAGGTCCCACCTGCTTACTTCTCAACCCCTGCACGCCATTCGCTGCTGCGGCCCGCAGAGGCGGCAGAGGCCAACCAGATCATCGCTGCGGGGCGAGGGGAGGGCCGCATCTCCCGGCGGCGCAAGCGGCAGCAGGCGCTGAGGCAGCGCGAGCTGGGCAAGCGGGCGCTCAAGGTTGGCGTCTGGCTGCTGTGCCTTGGCAGCTTCGCCGTCTGCTCTGACTTCTGCTGCGCCCTGTCGTGCTGTGTTGCCTGCCGTGCTTCGTTGCCTGCCATGTGTGCGCCACGTGTGGGAGCAGCGCCGCAGATCAGCAGGCCGAGCTTCTTTCCAGCCGCAACGCCGCTGAAGCCTTGCTGCCGCCCGAGCATTGCAGGTGCAGCGGCGGCGGCATGCCAAGGAAGTCATGTCCACCCTGCAGCAGCAGATGGCTGATGCGGCGGAGCAGGGCGGCAGCCCCGCTGGACCGGCAGCGGCGGCGGCCAGCGACGAGCAGGCCGAGCGGCTGGCGCGGCTGGAGCGCCTGCGGGAGCTGCGGCAGCGCCTGTCGGCCTCGGCCTCAGCCTGATCCCGGCTGCTGCCACGTGCCTGGCTTCCCGGCAGCTGGCATCCCCGAGCTCCCTGACGGCACGAATTGATACATGGTTGCGAGCCGCGGCGGCACATGCTGGCGCGCGGCCGCAACACCAGCTCCCCTCTCTTTCATGCTCCACAATGTTTCCTGTGGCCGCTGTCGTGCCTCACCCCCATTTTTTGGCCCTGCTCGAACCTGAACTCGGCTCCCCTTGCTAACTTTTCACTTGCATCTATTCCCCGCCTTGACAACAGCTCCTTGCACAATTGAAGGCAAGTCGGTGCACGGTGGTGGCACAACAGTGCCGAGCCGTTTTCCCAGGGCCGCTTTCCCAGGGCCAGCACCTATGGAGATAGGCGGCTCCTGTGGAGCTGGCCCTATCAGCCAGGGGGGTGTTGAAGGGGGCCCAATCCGCCAGGGCAGCGGCGAAGGGGCGCGTTACATGCCTGCTATACCTATGGCAGCCTCACAGCTTGTTCACCGCAGCCGCCAGGGACTTTGCCATGAATGAGCGGCAGGCCTGCGCGGCCGCCTGCAGCTGCTGCCTGGCGGCGGCCGCGTGCTGCGGGTACGCCTTGACCACGCTGAGCGCCAGCCTGGCAAACTTGGCCGAAGCCGCCAGCTCGGCGCCGGCAGCGGCACCCCGGAAGGCAGCCGCCAGCTGCGCCACGCCCGCCTCGCTCAGCGCCGGCTTGGCATTCACCACCGCCTGCAGCACCGCCACTGTGTGCTCGTTCCAGGCGCCGCCTGCGGCCGCCGCGCCACTGCCTGCGGCTGCCGCGCCGCCGCCTGCAGGGGCGCAGGCAGCTGCCAGCACATCTGGCAGCAGCTGGTGCGGCAGGCTGGCCTTCAGCGTGCGCCCCAGCAGCTCCGCCTGGTGCTTGCTCAGCCCGGGGCTGCTCAGCAGCAGCTGCAGGCAGGTCGCGATGTAGGCCTGGGGGTTGGAGCAGCCTGCAGGCACATGGGGTCCTTACTTTGTGTGAGGAACAGGACGCAGGGCAAGGGCGGCAGGTGTGTGTGTACAGGAAGCAAGCGTGAGGCGGGGGCGGCACGCGTCAGGGCCGATGGCAGCAGGCCAAGTGAAAGGTCAAGCCTATTTCAGTTGCTGCAAGCAAAGCAGAGCATCGCTGGGCCATGCATGCTGCGCCAAGCGCGCGCCTCCACGCATGCGGTCTCAACCACCCACCGACATGCTCCACCGCCGCGGCCAGGTCTCGCGAGGCGGCGCCCCCCAGGGCGCGCAGCCGTGGCAGCAGCAGCCCCGCAGCCGCGGCGCTGCTCCGCGCAAAGCTGCTGCCGGCGGCCACCGCCTCGGACAGCAGCAGCAGCAGCAGGGCGTCGTCCTGCAGGCTGGTCAGGCCCGCGTCGTGCAGGGCTGCCGTGCTGCCAGCTGCGGCGTGAGCCAGCAGCACGCCCAGAGCTTCCTTGGCGGCTGGGGTGAGGGCCACGGGGGTGGCGCCACCACCGGCACACCCGCTGCTGCTCTTCAGCAGGTCGCGCATTGTGCCGATCGCAGACTCCAGCTCGGTTTCTGCTGCCATGGCGGGTGCCGGATGCTGCGCGCCGCCGGCTGCCAGCCGCGTGCGCTTGCCGGGGCTGCCGCCTGGCGCGCGTGCCGCCTCCTCTGCCAGCCGTTTGGCGCCTGTGGCCTCCTGCGGCTGTTGCTGCGTCGCCGCCGCTTCAGCCGCTTGCTGCTGCCTGTACAGGGCTGCCGCGGCGGCTGCGTCTACCCGCACAGGCGCCCATGGGAAGCAGGGCTGCGCTGAGTAGAGAAAGGGCGGGCAGGCGGGCACCGGCGGAGCTGGTGGCAAGTCATCGGGTGCCCAGCTGCTGCTGCTGTCGGCCCGAACCTCTGCAGCCAGGAAGTCTAGCAGGCTGGGCTGCGCTGCGCCTGGTGCCCTGCTGGAGGTCAGCTGGTCTATGCCAGCCAGCAGGGCCACCCGCTGGCTGCTGGTGAAGCGGTGCGGCGCCGCTCTGAGCAGCAGCAGAAGGTCGGCCTGTGCTGCAAGGGGCAGGGTGGCCAGGCAGGGCAGCTGGCCTGGTGCGCCGCACAATGAGGTGGGGCACAGCAGGTCTTGCAAGGAGGCATCCAGCTGGGCGGCCTGGAAGGCGGCAAGGGAGCAGCGGCAGTGCCGGGGGAGGCGGGTCAGAGGCTGCGTGGAGCGGACTGTCGGGGCCGGGGCAATCACCATTGCGGAGCGAAACCCACCTGCATCGCGTTGAGGTGGTCTAAGCAGCGTGAGAAGCCAGCCCCAAGCGGGAGATCGATCCCGCCCATCGCGAGCGAGGCCTCGGGTGTCAGGAGGAGGCTTGGACTACGAGGAGAGGAGCTGGCAAAGAGTGGGCAGCCCTCATCCATTCCTGATCAATGGCGCCCCCGCCCACCTGCCGCATCGCTGGCGGCAGCGCCGCCTGCTGACCGCAGCTCGGCGCACGACAAAATGGCAATGAAAAAGGGTACCCTGTTATAAGGGACCAGCTGGTGACGCAATCACATGGTTACAGAATGCAACTGGCCAAGGATCAGCCTCTGGAACAGGTGTGCACGCGGTGCCGAGCGCAGGCAGCCGCTGGCGCATCGCTGTTCACGTAGAGGCAGCCGCTGGTGCATAGCCCTTCACTTCTTGTGCACCGTCGCCGCCGCCTCCTCGTGTAGTGCCGCCGCCTTCTTCACTAGCATGTGCTGCTCTCCATACCCCGTCAGCGCCTTGAGGTGCTTCTGCCGCAGGGCACGCAGGAGGCAGGCAGCAGAGATGAGCAACGCGGCGGCGGCGGCGGGCAGCAGGCGTGCCAGCCAAGTGCGACACTGTCATCCATCCCACTTCATAATACCTTCGCCTTGCTCACCGGCGACATGCTGCGGCCCCCACGGCAGCAGCCACACCCCTCAGGCAAGCCAGCCAGCCAGCCAGCCAGCCAGCCAGCCAGCGCCCCAGCGCTTGGGGTGCACCCTGCGCACCTCCATGCCAGCCAGACACTCCAGGCGGCGCACGGGGTCGCTCACGCCGTCTGCCTCCATCTCCCGCAGGGCTATGAGGGATAGCATGAACTGCAGCTCCTCGCTGGCCGGGTTGCCCTCGCCTAGGGCGGACACTGCCGGGTGGGAGGGAGGGAGGGGAAGGAGGGCAAGGCAGCAAGACATTGGAAAGGCACGGGTGAGTCTCATTGGGTGGGGCTGCGGTGGTGGTGCCCTCATACAATGTGCAGGGACTGAGGAGGTGGAGATGGGCAGGGGGCTGTTGGCAGCACCAGGTGTGCGGTGGACGGCGCGTGTTCCCAGCCAACGGGGCGGCACCAGCTCGCGCAGGCGCCGCACCACCCATGCCAGCCACGTCATGATGCACTGCCAGCTCACCCAGCGCTGGCGCCACCTCATGCAGCAGCTGCTTGGCCGCCTCGTACCGCCCCAGCAGCGCCGTCACCATGCCCAGCCGCTGCTGCACGGTGAGCATGTGCTCCTCTGCGAGAGGGGGGTGGGGAAGGGGAAGGGGAAGCCAGGGGGTGAGGCGGCAGGCTGGCGTGGGGTTGGCTCACACCCGCTGATCCCCTGGCTGATTATGTGATGCTACATTGGGTTTCGAGATGATGGCACCACATGCGGGCGCTTGCACCTGCTTCGGGGTAGTGAGCCTTGACCGTCTCCAGGGACATGCGCAGCGACTCTGCAGATTCCTCGTACTTGCCCATGACGTACTGCAGGCAGTACATCGGCAGCGCGACAAGCACCGTGTGGGACACAGCGGCACCCAGCCTGGTAGAGCGCAGCCCCACCCAAGCAGGCCTTGACATTTTTCAGGCTAATCAGCGGCCATGCAGGCCTTGCTGGCTTAGCAGATGTAGAAGAATAAGAAGAAGGCAGTATGCGGGGCCTCTGGCTGCGGCGCGCCTGCAGGGTACCGCACTGGTAAAGCGTCAGCGCCACGTGCTCGTAGTTGGCGCCCGCCGCCATGTGCAGCCGCGCATCCTGCACACGACGAGGGCAGGCGGAGCTGGTCGTGTGGGCTGCTGGCCCCGCGATGCTGGCTGAGAGGCGGGGAAGAGCATATGCACTCTTCCCCGGCCGCAGCCCTAGTTGCCCCACCGGCCCCCGGTTGCCTGCCGCATGTGCCATGCTGCGCATCGGTTTGTTTCACCGCTTGCACCCGCCCCCAACCCCCACCCCCTCTCACCTGGGCATACAGCACCTCTGCCAACTCCTGCTGGTCCCCCTCCAGCGCAGACATGATGAGGCGGCTGTGCTCCCTGCACCGCCAGGGCAGAGGGCAGCAGGGGCAGCGGGGTGGGCACCAGGCGCACCAAGCGCAGCAGGGTGGACGGCAGGGCGGGCAGCAGGCGCAGCCGAAGCTGTGACCGTGCCATGCGATCAGGGCGGGCGTGCCGGCGCTTGCTGCCTGGCACGGCACGCTGTCGCCTTGTGCCCCGCACCTGAGCGCTGCTGCCACCAGCGGGCTATCGGGCCCCAGGTGCGCCTCCATCATCTCCAGCCCAGCCTTCATCTCATCCAGAAACTGGCCCACAGCTGCAGGGGGGCAGCACGCACAGCGCGCGACAGGGCAGGAGGCAGCCGCCACTCAGCCCCGGCGGCACAGCGCTCGAACCGACGCGAGCGCGCGCGCGCTGTACAGCGGGCACCGCCGCGGAGATTCCGCCGTGGCAGTTGCAGCTCCGCAGGCGTGGCAGGCGGGCAGCCGGCGGCCGGGCAACGGCAGGGCGGCCCTACCTGGCGGCGACAGGTTCTGGGCCTGCTTGGCCAGGGCGTGATAGAATTTGGACTCCCCCAGCCCCATCTCAAACTTGGCCTTCGTCTCTGCCAGCTCCTGTCGAGAGAGGGTGGACAGCAGCGGGTGGCGCGGGCAGCAGAGGGGCAGGTGGAACTTGGCGCCAGTCAGCGCAGCCGGCAGCGGCCGGCAGCAGGCGTGGGCAGCAGGGACGGGGGCAGCATTCGCGAGCAAGCAAGCCAGCTGTGCGCGGGTGTGCCTGCCGCCGCATGCCAGCCCCACGGCACAGGCCCGCTGCCCCAAGCATCCCAGCAGCGGCAGCCGCGACTCGTCAGCCGCCGGCTCACCTCTTCCTCCTCCTCGTCCTCCCCCTTGAACTCCGCCAGCATCTTAAGTGCCCTCTCCAGCCCATCAATGCTGCGCCCGGCGTACAGCTGCAGCGCCAGCGGCGGCAGGGGGCCGGCAGGAGAGCAGGCGTTACGAGATGCACTGCTGGGTTGCCCGCTCCATGGCAGCGCAGCGTCGTGAGTGCTGCCACCACCGCTTTGCCACATGCAACTGCTTGTACTAACTACAAGCACACACCCACATGCAGAAACACTGTCGGGCCCATCGCCGCCCCACCCACCCACCTGAGCCTCCTGCGGGTTTCCGCTGGCCAGCAGGGTGGAGGCGTAGCGTGTGGAGGCGATGGCGGTGGCGGGGCCAAAGCCCTCGTCGTGCTCCTTCAAGATCTCTAGCGCGCGCTTGGCTGCGCCGAGCAGGGAGGAGCCGGCCAGGCCGCAGGGAGTTGGCGGCGTGCAGAGCACGGCGGCGCAGCAGCAGCAGGCCAACAGCTGGCGCTGGCGGAGGTGTGGGGGCTACGGCAGGCTCTGCGGCTGGACCTCTGGGCATGTTGAGCGGGCCCTGCAGGCGGTGGCCAGCCCGCAGCGCGCAGCCCGCAGCTGCAGCCCGCAGCCCGCAGCCCGCAGCTGCAGCTCCTCTGCGTTCCCACCTTCCCGACCCAACCACACCGCACGCACGCTGCCACCGACCTGCCTCCGCCGCTTCCTCCATGCGCTCATGCAGGAAGCGGATGATGCAGAGCTGATCGTACAGCGCCGCCACCTCCAGCGCGCCCTTGCCCAGGATCTCCCCTGCCTGCTTGGCGCCTGCGGCGGGCAGGGATGCGCGGTGGCAGCACAGGGAGGACTGTGTCCAGCAGCTCCTCTCCCTCGCTCCCTCCACCAGCCGCCAGGGCTATCAGAACAGCAGCCCACCATCCCCATCTTCGCCCCACCAGCAGCCAAGCAAGCACCCTCGGCCCGCTGCCGGCATGGCAGGCCCTCCTGTGCTCCCACTGTGCGCCGCACCTTCTTCCAGCACATACTCAGCCTCCATGGGCTTTCCCTGCTGCACCATCTCAAACGCCGCCGCTATAAGCCGCTCAAAGGCCTCCGCCATGGCGGCCTCGGCCTCCTCATCGTCCTCCTCCACCACTTCCTCCTCCTCCTCGCCGCCCTCGGCGGCCGCAGGCGGCGGCGGCGGCGTGCCGGCTGCTGCTGCCGTGTCGTCGCCTCCCGCCTTGGCGCCCTCCATCAGCGCCGAGGCTGCCGAGAAGCATCGCAGCTGCGGCTGGAGTGTTGCTGAGGCCCCTGTGGGGGTTGGTACCCACAGTTGTGATGCGATGTGCTGCATGCGGGCGCCATCGGCTCTCATAGGTTCTGCAGCCGCTGCCGCTGCCTCCAGGAGGCCGCTGGCCGAGCACCGCAGGTGCAGGGCTGCCCTGAGCACTCGTGCTCGCTGCATGGCCTCTGCTGCAGGCTAACGTCTATCGGAAATGTGGCGATGGAGCCGCCCGGTTCAGCAGCAATTTGGGTCTGCCAGATGCTGCCCCGGTCAATATGTGTGCGCTGGCAGCTCCGACTCGACACCAGTTTCTTGGCCTGTCCACAGTCCCGTATGTCCAATTCTCTCACCATGCAAGCCTGCACGTGGACCCGCGGCCACAGATCGCCGACCTGCAGGTCGTCGGCAGTGGCGCACCCCCGCCGCCTCCTAGCGAGGCCCTCGACAGTGCGCTGCTCTGCACTCGTCGAGGAGAAGACGAAGGATGCGGGTCAAGGCAAGGACGGAGCCAGCGGGGAGGAAGACGCCGCTGCTGCCCTAGCGTCGGCGCCCGCCACCGGCCTGGCGGCGGTGCCCCGGCCTCCCAAGCTGCCAGTGGCAGAGACCATCTGCATGGAAGGTGTGTGATCCGGCAAAGGATCCAGTAAGCAGCGGTGGGCAACAGCCAGCCAGCTGCGGCCCGGGGAGGAGCAGCAGGTTGCGCGCCGGCTACCTGCGTGTTAGGGTTCTCGGCAGCTGTGACCCTAGCGGCTCGGGTGGCGGGACGCGCCCACAGCTGCCAGCTGCACAGATCATCCCGCGGCCGCCGCCGTGCTGCAGGGTTTGGCTGGGACAGCTGCAAGGATGGTCACTGGTGGAAGAAAGTGGAGACGACAATCCCAGAGCTGCAGGTGCGGTTGCTGCCGCAGTTCCTGCCTGGCGAGCGGCAGCGCGGGAAGCCACCCCCGGGCAGGAAACCGCCCCTGTCGCAGGAGCCAAACCAAGGTCCAGGACTTTACGGCAGCTGCAAGGAGTCAGAAATCTAATTGATGGTGCAGCTGTTGGCTCCATCCCTTGTTTGCATGCCTCGGCTGTTCCCTCTGTTGTTTGCGCAGGCCGCCGGCATCACACACCTCTGGCTCCCGCCACCCAGCCAGTCCGTCTCGCCACAGGGCTACCTGCCGGGGCAGGTGCGCCCCCTCACAAGCGGCATGTAACATTGCATACCTGCACCAGCCTGCGTGGCAGTGGTATTTTCGGTATCCCTCTCTCACAAGCATAGACCAACTCCCGCTGCCTCCTCTGGCCCCCCGCCTACCGTCAGCTGTACAACCTTAACAGCAACTACGGATCCAAGGAGGAGCTGGAGAGCCTGAACAAGGCGCTGCTGCTGGCGGGCATCAGGTGCGCCACCTACCTGCCACAACGTGGCGCAGCCACGCCTCCATCATGCCGCTGTCCCTGGGTTGGTGCATGTTGGTGCTTCCATGGCTGGCAGCCTTCCATGCCAGTGCCAGCAAGCATATGCCCACACACTCCTGATGGCGTGCTTCACCCCTCGCCATGCGGTGCCCCTTAAGCATGCTCCTTCGCCACCATGTGTGGTGCTGCAGGCCGGTGGCCGACGTGGTGATCAACCACCGCTGCGCCCAGTTCCAGGATGAGAACGGGGTGTGGAACAAATACGGCGACGACGTGAGCCCGCGCGCCTGCTGCGCCTGCTGCGCCCGCTGCGCCCGCTATGCCGCCTGCCTGCCGCGCGTTGCTCGCCGCTCAGCAGCACTGAACTTGCTGCTGGGTGTGTATTCCCTGCAGGTCACGCATGACGGCAAGCGCATCAACTGGGACAAGTGAGGAGCAGGGCCGCCGCTGCGGCAGAGCCTGCATCCTGTTTTGAGTGCACTGCCCGGCCTGCGCCCGACCTTAACACACAGGAGATGGCTGTGCTGGCTCAGCTGCCTCCTCCCCTCTCCCTCGTGTGTGCTGCCAACCCGCTGAGCTGCTGCTAGCCCGCTGCCTGCAGGTGGGCCATCACCTGTGATGACCCCGTATTCCAGGGCACCGGCAACAAGGACTCTGGGGACGACTATGCGGCGGCGCCAGGTGGGCAGGGCGGGCGGGCTGCGGGCCGCACCCAGCAGGGCGGGGCAGGGCGTGGTGGAGCGTGGAGCAGGGCATGCGAACAGCACGCCTCGCCAAGTGGCTGCCTTGCCGCTGCCAAGGCGCCGCGCTGGCGGGGTCTGTCCTCCTTCTTGTGCACCATCCCTAGCTCCCTCCTCTCTCCTGCCAGGCACAACGATCTCCTGACTGTGACTTGTATCCGTCTTCCTCTGCTTTCTTCCCCCGCAGACCTGGACCACCACAACCCCGAGCTGCGCGACAGCCTGGTGGACTGGCTCAACTGGCTGAAGACCGATGTGGGGTTCGAGGGCTGGCGCTTCGACTTCATCCGCGGTTACGCCGCCAAATACGTCAAAGAGTGAGTGGGGAGGCTGAGCGGGTCCGGGGGCGGGGTTGGGGGAGGGGAGCAGGCAGTACGACGGGATCACGAAGGGAGTGTCCGCTGGGCTGTCATCTCCTGCTGGGCCTCACTGTGCCTGGGGTGCCTGGCCTGACGGCCATGCCCCTCAACACCTTGCCCAAGACCCTTTGCCCCTCCCTCCTTCCCCCACAAGCATTCGCCTCCACCACCAAACTCACGCAAGCACATGCACACCGCCCCACCACCGCCCCGCAGGTACATTGAGCGCACCACCGGCCCCGACGTGTTTTACGTGGGCGAGAACTTTGTGGACCTGCGGTGGCAGGACTCCAACCTGGAGTACAACCAGGACGAAGGTGCGGTGTGCAGCGGTACCGCAGCCGTACCGCAGCAATCGTGCCGCCTGCCCCCTGCTTGCTGCGTCCGTCGCGCGGCATAGGCCTGTGCGCATCTGCAGGAGACGGGCTGCTGCTTGGGCCACCCACCTGCCTTGCCTGGCCTGATACGCTCTGTAGCCAGCCGGCCTGACCTGTTCCCTTCCCACCCCACCCCCTCCCCGTCCCTGCCCCGTCCCTGGCCCTGCCCTGCAGCCCGCCAGAAGCTGGTGGACTTTATCAAGGGCACCCAGTACTGCACGCTCTTCGACTTCCCGACGAAAGGCATCCTGCAGGCAAGCCCCGCTGGCCCGCTGGCCCGCTGGCCCCGCCTGCTCCGTGCTGTGCACAGGCCTCCTGGGTGCCATCCTGACTGTCCCCCCGCACCCCTTGCCGCCACCCGTCTCGGCTGCAGGAGGCCGTGAAGCACACGCAGTACGACAGGCTGAAGGACGGGCGGGGCAAGGCGCCTGGCCTGCTGGGCTGGTGGCCGGAGATGGCCTGCACCTTTGTGGACAATCACGACACCGGCAGCAGCCAGCAGGTGGGCAGCGCTCCCAGGATGGGCTCCCACTCCTGGCTCCCGGCTTGCTACAGGGTCCCCCAATGCCAGCCAGTGCCAGCCCGCGCGTGGCCCGAACCGCCCTCCTCCTCCTCCGCTGCTGAAGCTGCCGCCCCTGTCGCCTTGTGTCCCTGCAGCACTGGCCCTTTCCCAAGTTGCATGTGATGCTGGGCTATGCCTACATCCTCACGTGAGCGGGGCCGCACTGCTCTTGCCCCCGGCTGCTCCCCTGGGTACTGCCACCGTCGCGGCCAGCTTCCTCGGGCTTTTGCCATTCTACCAGCTGGCTTACCCCTTGACATCCCTCCTCTTCCGCAACCGGTGTGTTGCGCCTGCAGGCACCCCGGCATCCCCTGCCTCTTCTGGGAGCACCACTACGACTGGGGCCTGGCCGATCAGATCAACAAGCTTGTGAGCTGCTGCTGCTTCTGCTGCTGCCGCCGGCTCTGCTGCTGTTGCTGGTCCTGCTCCTGCTGCTTCTCGTGCCGCTGCTGGATTGTGGTGGGACCAAACGAGCCTCTGCCTCGTGCCATGTGTGGCGCGTGTGTGCCTGAGCCGGGCCCCGGTTGCCGCCGCAGGTGGCGCTGCGCAAGCGGGCGGGCATCCGCGCCGACTCCAAGCTGGAGATCCTGTGCGCCGAGGGCGACATGTATGTGGCGCGCTGCAACGGCAACGTCACCATCAAGATGGGCCCGCGCTACGACATGGGCGGGCTGGTGCCCAAGGAGAGCGACGGCTGGAAGATGGCCGCCAAGGGCCAGGACTTTGCCATCTGGGAGAAGGCGTAGAGGCCATCCGTCGGGCCCCCGCTGGCAGGCCTCATGCGCTGGCGCAGCTGGCAGTGCGGCTTGGGTGTGGTTGCCCTCGCCCGCTGTTCCGCAAGAATGGATGCACGTACAGTAACCCGAGGTCCCCTGGGCCTGCTTTTTTCATCACGCGCTGCCTTGCGCCCTTGCGAGGGCGCATGGCAGCCCAGCCATTTTTTTGCTAGCGCCGCCGCTGACAAATAACAGCACTGCTGATGTTGGTCGTAAGTATTGGCCTTTTGTCAGTTTTTATATGTGTAGCGGCACCCCTCGGTTTTGGTTTCGTTGTTGTATTCTACACTGTTCGGAGCCGCCCTTTTTGAGCTCACGACTCGTCCGTCGGACGGCTGACTTTCCGCTACGATTGGTGGGAGTTCATCCCTTTGTTGTGATGCCTGCCTCTGCACAGCTTGCGGGGTGATGAGATGAGTCCCATGGCGCAGGGCACATGTAACAGGCAAGGTTCAAACAAGACTGCTCAGGACTGCCACCTTCCCAGCGGCGCCGCCGCCACGCCTGTGAGCTGGCGCGCGTGGCATGACGTGGCGGCGGCTGTGGTGGGAGTCCTTGTGCGCGAGTCCTCCGCAATCCCAGGGGCGTTATCACGCATCTACCATGTCCTCTGAACCCGACTGAGGCCCCAATGCCGCAGTCAACCGCGTGCTTCCAACCAACCCAGGCCGCTCTGGCGCCCAGACCGGCCCAGGCGCCTCGGCTGCGGCTGAATGCAAGTCGCAAGAGCGCCGGCCAGCGGCGCGCCGGGCAGCTGGTCAGAGCCTTTGCGCCCAGCCGCACTTCCGACGGCGCCTCGATGCTGCCCGATGAGCTGGCCGCCGTGCGCCCTCCAGCCATCCCCATGAACGAAACTATCCTGCTGGAAGGCGAGATGCGGGCATAGAGCACCCAGGGGCTGGGCAGGGGCGAGTCGAGGGGCGCTGCGGCAGCGGACCCATCAGCGCCGTGCCATCACCGCCAACCGGGCGCCCCACCCCCGCCACCCTGCTCCTCGCTCATTCCCTGCAGGCTTCGGCTGGCAGTCGTGGGAGGGCGACCGCTGGTGGCGCACGATGCGCGGCCAGGTGCCCGAGCTGGCTGCCCTGGGCATCACGCACATCTGGCTGCCGCCGCCCTCCGCCTCGGTCTCCACGCAAGGCTACCTGCCAGGACAGGTGTGTTTCTGCCGTCAATTATCTGGCAGTGTAAGCTTACACTCTGTTTCTGCCAAGGTTTCTGAAGAAGCTTTAGACAATGCTGCTTTGCACTGCAGCGTCGTGGGCTGCGCATGCATGTGCCTTTGCTCAACACAAGCCCTTCCTGTCCCTGCACGTGCTGCCCCGCCCCTGCCGCAGCTCTACATGCTCAACAGCCGCTACGGCACGGGCGCCGAGCTGCGGGCGCTGTGCGCCGACCTGCTCAAGGCGGGCGTCAGGTGCGGCGGCAGCGGCACGAGCGGCCGCCTGCCTGCTTTCTCGATTTGCCGTCCGACCGGCTCTGGGCATGCGCCTGGCGCTGGCTGACATATGCTGTTCCACCGTCTGGCTGCTCAGCCCTCTTCCTCGCCCACCCTGCTGATGCTACTACTGAGGAAGTGTGACAAACGCCCTGCCCGCACACGCTTTGCAGGCCTGTGGCCGACATAGTGATCAACCACCGCTGCGCCGACGCCCAGGACGAGTCTGGCACCTGGAACATCTACAGGTGATCCTGTGGCTGGTGCTGGTGCAGGTCGCTGTGGCTTGATGCACGCCTGTTGGGATGCACAGCCTGGAGGAGGCTTGCAGGGGGTTGCAAGGGAGTGCCTGCGACTGGCGTTGACTGTCGCTGCCCGGCCTGGTCAAGGGTGCCTGGCGGCTGCCCCCTGCGCAGGGACATGGTGCCGCACCCGGGCAAGAGCATCGCGTGGGGCCGCTGGGCCATCGCAGGCAGCGACAGGCAGTTCGGAGGGCAGGGATCGCCGGACAGCGGCGAGGATTACGGCCCCGCACCGGGTGCTGCCGCTGCCGCCGGGCCTGCTCCTCTGCCGCCTGCTGCCGCCGCCCCTGCTGCGTTGCTGCTGGCGTTGATCCCAGTTCTGCCGCCATCTCCATTGTACTGTCTGTCTGTCTTCCTCTGCTTTAAAAGTTATTTGCTGCGGTGCAGATCTGGACCACACCAACCCCGAGGTGCGCGACAGCCTGGTGGACTGGCTCAACTACCTGCGCCTGTCAGTGGGCTTCGAGGGCTGGCGCTTCGACTTTGTCAAGGCGAGCTCGGGTGCCGCCATGTGCCCCGCCCTGCCCCTGCCAAAGACAGTGCCGGCCAGACCCCAGCTGGGCGCCGTACCCTGGCCTGGAGGTGCCCTCCCGCCAGCTGCCAGCAAACCTGTCTGCCTGCTGCGCCCGCTGCGTCCCCGCCGGGCCGCCAAGGCCTTGCCTGTAACACATCCTGCTGCAGGGCTACGCCCCCCGGTTCACAGGCGAGTATGTGGAGCGCACGGTGGGGCCCGACGCCTTCTGCGTGGGCGAGCTGTTCCTGGACCTCAAGTGGAGCAACTCCTTCCTGGAGTACGGCCAGGAGGCGGCCCGCGGGCAGTTCCAGGTGGGGTGGCTGGCTGGGCAGAGGCGTGGCGGGGGTCGTGGGGGGATTATCACTTTGCCCACTGTGGGTCGCGGTGGTGGCGGCGGCGGCGCGTGTGTGTAGGGGTAGCTGTAGTGGTAGCCTTTGACTGTGGATTATTGTAGGTGTGATTCCTGCCTGGGCGCTCCTCGCCCGACGCTGTGCGCAGGACTGGCTGCGCGCCGCGCGGCACTGCTGCCTCTTTGACTTCCTCACCAAGGGCCAGCTGCAGGTGAGGTGGCCAGCCGGCAGGCTGAGGCGGTCCATCCTGCAGCACCGGTGCTGTGCCCACCACTTCCGGCAACGCTGCAAATTGCCTCACTCCTGCACTACCGCACTGATGCTGTACCTGTACCGCTGCCGTACCGCTACTGTACCGTCCTCCTGCAGGAGGCGGCCAAGCACCACGAGTACGACCGGCTGCGGGACGGGCAGGGGCGCGCCCCCGGCCTGCTGGGCGCCCGCCCCGAGCACTCCGTCACCTTTGTGGACAACCACGACACCGGCAGCAGCCAGCAGGTGGGCGTGTGCTGGGGGCGGGCAGGGGTGGAGGCGGCGGTGGTGCCGGTTTGTGTGTGTGTCATACATCATGTGGTGGGCGTAGGGACGGGCGCCGGTCCCGCAGCAGGGCAGGCTCTGGAGACGAGGAGAGCCTCTTCAACCGCTCCTTCCAAGCAGCTGTTGTCTGGAGATTTGCCGAGACGCTTGCCTGCCTGCCTCCACCCGCCGTTGGCCCGCAGCACTGGCCCTTCCCGCGTGGCTTCCTGGGACTGGGGTATGCCTACATACTCACGTGAGCTTCACCAGGGGCGGAGGACTGTGGCAGCTGCAGGAGGTGTCGTGTGTTGGGCTGCAGTGCAGGGTGTGGGCAGTGGAGACAGCTGACAGAAGCTGGCGGCAGCAGCGTGCAGCAGCCGATGGCTGCACCTTGTTGTGAGCGGCTGGCCTGCCTGCCTGCAGGCACCCGGGCATGCCCTGCATCTTCCACGAGCACCTGCAGGACAGCGGGCTGCGACAGGCAATCACAGAGCTGGTGGGGAGGGCCGCTGCTGGCCGCCCTTCCGTGTGGGGAGGCGGGGGAGTCGGGGAGGCACCCCCTGGCTTCGCATGCAGCCCCTGGGGCAGGGTGGCACGCACCCACCTCTCCCTGCTCTGCCGTGCCACGCATGTCCACGTGCCGCATGCTGCTTGCTCTCTCGTGGTCCGTGGCTGCCGCCGCAGGTGGCGCTGCGCAAGCGGGCGGGCATCCGGTCTGACTCCAAGCTGGAGATCCTGTGCGCCGAGCGCGACATCTATGTGGCGCGCTGCAATGGCAACGTGGTGCTGAAGCTGGGCCCGCGCTTCGATATGGGCGGGCTGGTGCCCAAGGCGGCCGAGGGGTGGCGCCTGGTGCAGTCGGGGAACGACTATGCTGTTTGGGAGAAGGCCGCCTGAGGCTGCGGGCGGGTGCGACAAAAACATCGATGGTGGTGTGGAGGGAGGACGCAGGGTGCCCGGCTGGGAGGTCCACACAGGCGGGACATCCACACCAGAAGCACATTTAAGGAATTGAGCGCAGGGAGACACACACCATTTCATCCGGAGCGGCATGCGGCCCGCTGATGTTGTGACGGCCCGCTGATGCGCCTGACTGTATTTGACAATGGAGTTTTTTTGCGCCTGCAATTTTGCCACCCAGGATGTTCAACCCCTGAAACCTATTTCCCACCGACTACTCCCTAGCCTTGAAATTTTGATTAATGTTACACTGCCAGCGAGGCAGGCGCCGTGCACGCTGCGCGCGTCGCCGCTCACAGCGCCAGCGGGTCTTTGGAGTTGCATGGGTGCTCCTCGGGGGCTGGGTAGTAATTGAAGTGCAGCTGCCCCACATCCTCGCCCCGCACCTTGGTCCACCCCTCCTGGGTCACGTGGTAGGCTGCAGGGCGGCAGAGAGGAGGAAGAAAGGGAGGGATTCAGAGAGAGGTGGGAAGGAGGGAGTCGGACAAAGGCGCCAGGGCAAGGAAGCAGCGGCCAGGCGCAGCAGCCTGCCAAAACCGCTCCCAAAAAACCTCACAGCCGCAGCCGCAGCAGCAGCCGCAGCAGCGGCCGGGGCAGGGGGGCTAAGCACGCACACACAGCACCACACACACAGCACCACACACACACACACACACACACACGGTGTGTCACACTGCACCACACACAGTGCCACACGCAAGTAAGCAAGGGCTGGCGCACCCGACACAGTACCGCCCGAGGCGGCGTCCCGAAAGGTGGCGTGGTAGATGGAGCGCTGGCCCAGCTCCACCGCCTCCTCCACGCTCAGGTCCCAGCGGTAGCCCTCATCCAGCACGCCGTAGGCGTAGAGGCTGCGGGGAGGGTGGGTATCGGTGGCGTGGGTATGGGCATGGGTGTGGGTGGCGGTGGTGGGGAAATGGCCCGGGCGGCGGCAACAGGATGACACTGCCCCGGCATGTGGCGAGACGGCGCCGGCCTGCGGTTTGCCAGCGGCAGGCGGGCGCGCCGGCCTGCGCATCCGGCGCCTGCTTGCGGCGGCAGCCGGGGCACGCTGCGGCGGCGCGGCGGCGCACCTTCCCGATCCGACAGAAAACAGCTTGCCCTTGGTGCGCTGACCGTCAGAGTCGACATAGTAGAGGCCCGGCCCCGCCTCGTCCCAGCCCGCCACCATCGTGCCCTGCAGGCGGCACAGAGCACAGGGCGGGCGTGGGTGGCAGGACGGACGTGGGTGGCAGGCGGTGGCGGCCGGCCGGCAGCACGACACACGCGCGGCCGCCAGGCCATGCGCTGCTCTGCGCCAGCTCAAACACGCCCGCGCAAACACGCCGGCAGGCAGCGCCGCGGCGGCGGCCTTGCCCACCCACTAGCGACACAAGCCCAGGCCGGCCGCTCCCACCCAGCCACCAGCACATAACCAGCCACCCACTCCCCACCACCACACAACCACCCACCCACTCCCCACCACCGCGCCCCCAGCTCCCCACCACCACCCGCCTGCCCCACCCCTTCACTCACCATGGACAGCCCCATGCCTCGGTAGGAGAACATGGTGTTGGCCAGCAGCTTGGAGGCGCCCCGCACCGTGATGCGCTTGCCGTTGGCCAGCTCGTACAGGCGGCACTGGCGCCCCAGGTTGCGCTCCCAGAACTGGCAGTCGGCGGCGCCGCCCGCCATCGTGCCCAGCAGGTGCGGGTTGATCTCAATCACCTTCTTCACCGTCTGGGAGGCTGCGGGGGGCAGGGGGGGCGGGCAGGGGTGGATGTGGTTGTGTTTTGGCAGCGCCAGGCCCGCAGGCGCCGGCGGGCAGCCAGCGGGTGGCAGCAGGAGGCGGCGCCAGCGGGCGGCTGCTCACAGATGTAGGAGCCCTGGGAGGCTCGCGAGTCGACCGCGATGATGACTCCCCCCTGTGGCAGCCCATGTGGGGGAGGCAGAGTGAGGCAGAGAGCGGGCCAGCGAGCAGGCATCAGAGAGGCAGAGGGTGGGCAGCGAGCCGGCATGCCTGGCGCAACAAACCGTGCGCCAGCGGCAGCAGCAGGTGTGCCCCACCTGGAATATGAATCCCAGGGTGGTGGTGCCGTGATTGGGCTTCACATACTCCACCACCTCCCGCTCAAACGAGTCGATCTGCGGGAGCAGGACACAGGCGGCAGGAAAAGAGGAAAAGCAGGCGTAACTTGTAAGCGACGGAGTGCGCCGCGGCGGCGACGCCCAACGGAAGGTGGCGGGACGGTAGGACGGGCGGGCGGACTGCTGGGCAAGAATGCTTCCGGCTGCTGGAGCAGAATACTGGTGCAGACGGGCAAGCAGGCAGGCCTGGGTGCACAGTGCAGCAGCAGCGCCACGCCCGGCGACAGCGGTGATCGCCGCCCGCCGGGCATGCTGATCGGCAGCCACCGCACGTGGCCCTCCTCCCGGCAACTCACATCTGCGACTGCTGGCAGCGGGAAGGAGTCCACAGCAACGCCAGACACGCCCGCCGCTTCTAGGCCGCACGGCTCGCGGCCTGCCCCCGCCGCTGGCTCCAGGCACGACAAATCCAGCTTCATCATCGTCGGGCGCCACAGCGCCGCGGTCTGAAGGGCTGCCTGCTCCCCGGCCACCGCCGATCACAAGCCAATCAGTGGACTGGAGGAGGTGGAGAGAAGGGGAAGGTGCAAAACAACAGAGATTGACGGAGCCGACGAGCGCAAGCCTGAGGGCAGCCAGGGAATGCGCAGCATGCCCGTCGCGCAGGCGGGTGGCGGCGGTGGGCGCACTTCAAGGGGGAGCGATCTTTCTGCCACATCCTGCCGGCATTTTATCCTCCAACACCCAGATCGGTTCAGCAGTGTGCATGATATGCCGTTTGAAAGCTTTTGATCAGCCCCACCGTGCCGTACCCCACCCGACAGCCTATGCTGGCATCTGTTGTTCGCTCACTCATCATCAATGGTGCTGCTTGCATGCGGATTGTTGCAAGTAGAGCAGCGATACATTGTGTATAGCATCATTCGGCTGTCATGGTTGCCAGCCAAAAACTGGGGCGTCGGGGGTGTTGCAGCGGAAAGGGAAATCAGGAAAAAGAGTGAAACCAAGGGGAGGACCAAAATTGTCGGCTTGCTTTAAGGGAAAAGGGCAAACTGTGGAGCCTAACATGGAGCAGGCGTACACATTCTCAATGGCTGAATACATCTGGGTGGCTGTGGCGCCGGGACATCCACCTGCCGATCTATGTGTGGGCTGACGCCTGCAGGTTGTGGGCTGTGTGCGGTGCCTCGTAGGCTGCCTGCTTGAACTCTGACGCCAACTGTGCGCTCTCGACGTCAGAGGGCGGCCCCGACAGCATTGGCGCAGTGCGGTCGGCTGGGAGGCACAGCCGCTTGCGGGCAATGCTGCAAAGCACAGGGCCAGGGCGGGGCAGGCACGGCGGGTCAGCGCCAGCGCTGCTCACAGGCAGGCAACAATAGTCAAACACCGCTAGGCAGCTCAGCAAGCAGCCACAGGCGCAGCTGCAAGCATGCACGCATGCACTGGGGAGCGGCCCGCCTAGCGCACTCACAGATCGAATGCGACCGCCGCCACCGCCACCAGGTAGAGAGCAAACTCAAACCAGGACAGAACCATGACGGCATTGCGGGCCGAGGCCTCCGGCATCCCCGCGTCCCCCGCCTGCTTGCCGCGCTGCGTGGCCATGACGGCTGCCGCCAGCCAAAACATGGCGCCAAAGCAGGCGACCGAGCCGTTGACCGGCGCGAGGAAAGCGCCGGGGCCGGAGCGCAGGGTGGAGGCCGTGCCTGCCGCCATCAACAGGCCGAAGAAGAGGGAGAAGTAGCTGGTGATGGCCAGGAACTGCGCCAGGGGCAGGGAGGTCGGGAGGGAGGGCGGCAGGCGGATCAGGCATCAGGCACCGTGCACGTGACGGGGAATGCTCCATATGTATGCGCCCTGCTGGAGTGCTGCAATGGCACATGGCTGCAGGAGCGCAGCGCCTGCCGGGCTGACTGCTGCAGAGGCAGGAGGAGGGAGAGGGGCTGCTGCGGTGCGCCTGTGCGGTACGCGACACGGGCAACTCACGTCGCAGATGTCGCCGCCGCCGCTCAAATTCAAGAGGCAGGCGCCGCCTTGCTGGAGCGTGGTGCTGGACAGCACGGCAATCACCACCGCGAAGATGGCCTGCGGGGAGGCGGAGAAGAGGGGCAGGACGTCGAGAGGGGGGGGTAAAGCGCCTGAGATGCGCCGCCGCCATCTGGTAGATTGTCGAGGTGAGGCAGCAGCGCCGCGCCCGGCACGCGCGCTGGTGTGATTACTGGCACATTTCTATCATGCCAGACGCCTGTGGGACGCAGAGTCTACCTGCAGAGCGAGAACCCCCGCCAAGTAGTGAGCAGCGCGTGGAGCCATCTCTCAACGCTTGAAGGCAGATATATCGAGATGGGGGCAATGTATCAGAGGACGATGCGAATAGGAGGACACCAACGCGGGATGGGCTGTCATTCATACAGCATGCAAAGCGGCAACCGCCGACAGCGGGGCAGAATGGTTGGCTCGACCAGCCGCTCCTCCCTGGCGCTGCGGGTGGGGTTTACAGATGGTCTACTGAATGGAACAGCAAAATGGGAATGAAAGGCAGCAGCCGGGGAGCGGAAGTGTACAAAAAACCAGGAGGCCCCGATAGTGACACAGCGGCGCCGGCGGGCAGATGCCACGATGCGGCGCCAGCGGGCAGGAGGTGTTGGGAAGGGGCAGCAGGAGTGCACGTCCCGTGTGCTGGAGCAAACACATGCACGGGAGCGATACAGGGGGTGCAGGGGGTCGGGAAGGAAAGAGGCGCCCCTCGCAGGGGAGGGGTGGTGGAGAGGGTTCCAAAAAACGCGCCCATTCATTCGAGGAGAGTCAGCATTGCGGCAGGGGGAGGGGAGGCAAGAGCTGTGCGGTCAATCACGAGAGAGCGCGGCGTGCAGCGGGGCATGAGCCCCTAGCACACGCCAGCGCCGGTCGTAGTCAAACAAAAGGGCTCACCGCCCTGGCACAAGAGGCGCCGGAGTGGTGAGGGTGGCGGTTCGAACGTGGCAGATACACAAGAGTGCAGATCGGTGCAGGTGAGGTTTGCTCAGCGTGCATGGGGATGTGCAGTGGGGGCGAGCGCAGGCGGCCGCGGGCACGCTGCCGCTGCTGCTGCCCTTGCAGCAGCGCAGCAGGGCGGCAGGCTCCGCCTCACAGGTCCATCTCATTTGCCATGCTGGTCGCCGCATCCACCTCCTCCCCCTCGTCATCTGCACCGCAGGCAGGGCAGCGAGGAGGGCGGCATCGGCTCCAGCACTCGCCCGCCACTCCGGGCCGTGGGCTCAGCCCTGCCATGCCAGCGCCCAGCGTGCCGCACGCTCCTCCCAGCCGTGTGGCCCGCCACGGCCCCACCCCGGCCCCAGCCGTGTGGCACCTCCCCGCCGGCACCGCGCACGGGAACACCCGCGCCACTTCTCCCCACGGAACATGGCAGTACGATGATCGGCAGTACAGCGGTACTGCCTGTCCCGCCCACCCGTGTTGTACTTGTAGTCGGTCGTCACGCTCAGCTCCACAGCCGTCTTGCTCAGGCCGCGGCAGGAGAAGTAGAGGATGCGCTTGAGCTTCCTGCGGGCGGGGAGGAGGGCAGGGACGGGCCGGGCTCAGGCGGGGGCAGCTCTACGGCAGGCAGGAGAGGCTCAGGCGGGCAGTGCCTCCAGGCAGGCAGGCGGGGACGCTTCTCCCTCCCACACAGCTGTACACCCCTCCGTCCCACCGAGCTGCCCGCCGCTGGTAACACGGCGCAGCTGCCCGCCGCCGGTGGCCTGCAGCACGCCAGGAGCAGCCCGCCGGGAGCAGCAGCAGCCTGCTCTTGCCTGTTGTAGAAGAAGTAGTTGAAGGACCAGACGGAGCCCTTCTCCCCAAACGGATCACTCTCCATGTCGCTCTTGTAGCTGGCAGGGTAAGGCAGGCGGGAGGGTAAGACGGGCGATTGAAGTGGCGAGCGTGTGGGTGGGTGGGCGCACACAGGAGGCCCGACGTTGCGGCCGCAGGCAGGAGCGATGAGGGCGGCGGCGGGGCGCACGCTGCGGCCGGCCGGCCGCCGGCCAGGCCAGCCAGACCGGCTGGGCCTGCCACCAGGCCGCCAGCCAGCCATAGCCCGACAACCCCAGGCCACCAGCCCGACAGCCGCCTGCCCAAAGGCAAGCTCCCGTGCCGCACCTGTAGACGTCGCACTCCTTCAGGGCAATCGCCTCATCGATGGAGGACCACAGGCAGTCCAGCAGAGGCTCCTCCCCAAACCCGGGAGTCGTGTCCCACACCTGGCGGAGAAAACGGGCGACGGATAAGGAAAGGCGGGGTGAGCGAGCGGCGGGGTGAGCGAGCGGCGGGTGCGCGGGGGCGCGCTACGGCGGCTGCGCGGCAGCGGTATTCCCGGGTGGATCCCTCCACCCAGTACTAGCGCGCCGCCAGCCCCGGCACGGCGGGCGCTTCGGAGGGCGAGACAGGATCCGGGCGCTCTGGCAGCAACCAACCAACACTCAGCCGGGAGGCACCGGCACACCGAGTGTGCGGCATGGGGTGTGGAGCTGCCCTCCCCGCGGAGCCATGCCGGCTTGAGAGCTGTAGCACGCAGCTGCGGGCGGCGGCACGGGCAGGCGTGGCTGGGGCTGGATGCAGGTGGCATCGCTGCAGGTTCCGCCTCAAGCACGCAGGCAGGGGGCTGCGCCCCGGGGCTGCGCAGGCTCCACCTGAGGCGCCGCTTGCTTGTAGGAGGGGCGGCTCCAGCTGGCCCCAGCAGGCTGAGAACCCGCCGGGAAGCTGCTTGGAGGAGGCAGGGCCCTCCGCCGCACCAGCCTGAGCGCAAGCAGCACACCAGCCCTGCGCCCGGTTGCCCCCCAGCGGCAGAAGCAGCAGCAGCAGCGGCCGTGTGCGTCCCGCATGCCTTCCGGATCTGCCTCGCCTCCTGCCCCCTCCCATCCGCCTGCCTGCCAGCCGTACAAAGCCCCTCCCCGAGCGCCTCGCCAAGCAGCCCCTATCTGGTCCCCTCAAGACCCAGCCAGCCCTACCTCCAGCCGCCCAGCCTCCCCGCCCGAACCAGGGTGCCCCATCCCACCAAGCCGAGCCTGCACCCGCCTGGGCTCAGCAGCCCGCCGCCACTGCAGGCGGGTAAGGCGGGCGCCCACCTTGGATGCCTCCACCAGGTGCGCATCGATCGTCTCCTCTATCGCGGCCACCCCCTCCTCCTTCTTGAAGTGGTGGGCGCGCAGCAGGGAGAAGTCGTAGTCTGGGTAGATGTGGTTGAGGGTGAGGATGAGGTAGACGAGCGTCTTGCGGCTGCCGGACTCGTGCAGCGGCCCCACGGGCGACTTGGAGAGGGAGGTGGGCGAGGCGGAGCCCGCAGCCACCTCCTCCTCCAGACTGCGGCTCAGCTTCTTGTCCAGCCCCGCCAGCTTGCCTGCAGAGCCAGGCAGGCGTGTGACGCGGGCCACGTGTGAGCGGGGCAGGCGCAGGCCGCACCACGGTGTGCGGGCACGCGCTCGGGCCGCGCCCAGCGGCGGGCAATCCGGCCGAAACGCGCCCGCACGCCGCCGCTGCCCGCGGCTGCGCGGCCCAGGGGGAGGCGTGCTGCACTCGCGTGCTCCATGGCTCACAAAGCAGCTGGCCGCAGGCCGCAGGCACTGGCCTACGCCACTCAGGCGCCGTGGCCAGCCGGCGGCGGGCGGGGCGGCGGCGCCGCTCACATGAGTAGGCCTCTAGGTCGCCCTTGACGATGAGGTCCCCCACGTCAACGCTGTCCAGGAAGCTATTGATGCTGCAGGGTTCGTGGAGCGGCGCCGGGAGTGGAGCAGGGCGTTCAAACACCCTTGCCAGCCTCGGCGCTGGCCATGACCCCCCAGCAGGCGCCCCGCTCACCGTGCAAGCGTTGTTATGTCTAAGTACTTCATCGTTGGCCGCTCCTCGGTCTCAGCAACGTATACAGCGTGCCTCCCGGCGGCTCATACCCAGCTTGTCGTCGTTTCGGGCAGTCGGGGCGCTGGGAGCGCGGCTGGAGGCTCTGCAAACGTTTCGAGAGCCGGCTGGCGGGTGTCGGTCGGGTCGGGTGGGGGTCACAGGGCGGGGAGAGGAACAGGGAGGTGGGGAAACAGTGCTGTCGAGGGAGAGGCCTTGATCAGGCCACGAGGCGACAAAAATGTGCAGGCGCCCGCGGAGCGGGTGGTCCGCATCTGGGCCAGGTGGGAGACGGCGCATGCAGTGCCCCTCGAGTTCTTGGCGGCGTGCTCCATCCGCCGGTATTCGGCCACGCCTGCGTGATGCATTCGTGCCCTCAAACCTCTGTTCAATTCTACTGTGGATTCCCCCTGCACAGACTGCCTCAGTCTGACGGCGTTTGCAGGCAGCTGCCGGCGTCGCCACCACCCGCTGTGCCGCCTGAAGCCAACCGCGCAGCAGTGTTGGAGGCTCCTGCCGCTCACGAGGCAGCACATCCCGGCGGTTTCTTGCTGGAGGCTGGTTAGCCGCTGCTAAATGTGGCCAAACCAGCGCCTCGCAAGAGGCCCCAACAGCACCCGCTGATGTGGACCAACCCTCCTTGAAGGGGAGTTGTAGACGGGCGCCCCTGCTCAGTCCAGCCACCAGGGCAGCATTGGCAGACAGGCGCAGACATTGCATACGGTGGACCGCGGGGCCGCATTGAGCCTATGCTACCTGGGAGATGAATGGCTGGTGCTCCACCCGGCTGCCTTCTTGTGAGCACCCACCACCGCGGCAGTCGCTGCAGAGCACGCCAGTCGAGGCGGGTTCATAGAGGGATCTGTGTATCTGCAGGAGAAGCCACTAAAATCTAGCATGGCCGGCTTTGAACCTCGGATTGTCTTCCCGGCGCGTGGGCGCAGCCATCCGCAGGGAAGCGGGAGGGCCAACGGACACGAAGTGGCACCAGGCGGGCTGCTGGCCCTATCATGCCAGTGCTCTCGTGCCGCATTCCCCTGGAACCGCTGTGAGGATGCACAGGGACGTGGCAGCCCTACAAACAGCCACATGTGGCTGGGGTGACCCTGCGGCACGGTGGTACAGCCGCACGAGAGCGCTGCCTAACGCCGGCTGGCCTGGCGGGGCCCTGGCGCCGCCGCAGGGCCCCTGGCAGCCCAAAAATGGCACCCCGCGCCCCGATCGTGCGCCAGATAAGGTGGCGGGGCGCAAAACGCAAGGCCCACTTGGGAACCGGGGTCGACCTGGCCGCACAAATATCGGGCTCACCCCCGCGGCGAGCCGGCATTCTCCCTCACACTCCTGCAACCATGCTGCACTGAACTCGCTCTTCCTTAGGTAGCTGTTTGTCTTGTTCTAGCGGGTGTGGGTTCCACGGGAGAGGGTTGCGGAGCGAGGGCGACTGGCGGCTCGAGCGCTTCGTGCGGCGAGTGTGCCGCGTACACAGAGAAAATGCAGGCGCAGCGTGCCTTTGGAGTGGCTCTGAAGGTGGGCATCCTCAAACTGCTGGTCATGTTGTTAGCCCGCGCTTACACCGCGCCCCACGCCCCCCAGGCCCGTCCCCAGGCCATGTTGGGGGTCTGTCGGGGACGGCCAGGGCCCTGGGGGGGCTGCTGGGCACGCATTGGGCGTCGAGCCCAGGGGTGGGAGCTGCTCCTCTGGTCAAAGCCTGGCGTTGCCGGGCGGCCTGGCCGGCCCTCCCCTCCCCTGCTTGGGCCCTGGGACTGTGTCGTCAGAGGGTACAGCGCCCCACCGCTGCCGCCTGGGGCCTGCATGCACCTCCCCGGCGCGGCGCGCCGTCCCGCCAGCTGCGCCGGCCGCTGATCTGCCGTGCCCCGATCTCCGCCCCTCCCGCAGGACCTGGCCGCCGCTGGCTCGGCCCCCGTGGTCCTGCAGGACTGCCTGCGCTGGCTGGCGCTGCGCGGGCTCACCACCCAACGCCTCTTCCAGACAGCGCCGGCGGGCGACAAGCGGAAGCTGCTGGCGTTGCGGCACCTATATGACACAGGGCGCCGCCCGCTGCGCTCCAAGTCCTGCCGCGACAAAGACCCCTACCTGGTGAGCGGAGGCCCAGCCTCCCCGCGCCCGCGCTCGCCTGGCCGCCAACGGCAGCCGGGCCTGCGCCTGCAGCCGCTGCCGTCACGCTGCAGGCAGCCGCCGCTCACCAGGCAGCCGGCCCTCGCCTCCCTCCCCGCTCCCACCCCGCCGCAGATCGCCAACCTGCTGCTGCTGTGGCTGGGCTCGCTTCCAGAGCCGCTGTTTCCGGCCAGCCTGGTGCCTGCGCTGGTGGAGAGCCAGCAGAGCGACTATTACGAGGACCGCGTGAGCGCTGTGCGCGCGCTGCTCAAGCAGGTGCGCAGCCGCAGCAGCAGCCCAGCTGCCAGCTGCAGCTGAGCTGCCTCGGCGCCGCCCCGGCGCCACCCTGGCGCTGGCTCGCTGCGTGCCGGCCGTTGCCGGGCCTTGCCGCGCGCTTCGTTCGCCTTCTGGCATGCCCAACCTGGGGCTGCAGCGCGCGCGGCTTGCTCTCGCCGTGCCACCGGCCCCTCGCCAACCCCCGCGTGCCGCCGCCACCTGCGCCGCCCCACAGGCCGAGCCGTTTGTCGTGGAGGCGCTGTTCCCGCTCTTCGAGCTGCTGCACCACTACTGGATCAACCAGGCCGACCGCGACGGCAGCCTGCAGGAGCTGGCGCGGCTGCTGGCGCCCGCCGTGTTTGGCACGCCCGCCGAGCACGGGCTGCTGGCAGAGGACGGCGGCTTGCTGAGCGATACGGTTGAGATGCTGATCTCCGAATACCGCCCCCTCTTCACCCAGCCCTTCAACCTGCGCCGCTACGAGGCCGACGCGGCGCGGCAGGCGGCCGCCGAGGCGCAGCGCGCCGAGGCCGCCGCGGCCGCCTCGCCGCCCCTCCCCGCCTCCCCGCTGCTCACGCCCATCCGCTGCCAGCGGCTGTCGGTGATGGGGCCGGAGGGCGACTCGCCCTTCTCCGACTGCTGCGGCACGCCGCTGCCGCCCGACAGTCCCTTCAGCGCCTACGTGGCCGCCGACGGCGCCGCCGCCTCGCCGCCCTTTGGCGGCTTCCGCGGGCCATCGCTCGAGGGCGGCGGCGCCGCGGCCCCGCACCCCGCCTCCGCCGCCGCCCCGGCCTACGACGATGACCAGCACCTGGAGCAGACGTTCAGCGACCTGCTGGAATGCACGGTCAGCGGCATGCTGTTCGACGTGCCGCCCACGCCGCCGCGCGGCGCCCACGGCGACGGCGAGGCGTGCTACGGCTCCGCGCCGCTGGCGGGCGGCGTGCTGATGGGCGATACCGAGCTGGCCTGTGCGGGGGACCAGCCCATGTCTCCAGTGGCCGTGCTGCGTGACGGCGGCGACGAGTCGACCGACGGCTCGGGTGCGTGCCTGGCTGCCTGTGGGCTTTCTGCGGGAGCGACTGCGGCGGGCAATGCGAGGCGGCTTGGCTGCTGGGTGCCGGCGGCGGCGCAGTGTGCGGGGCTGGGTCGGGCCTGGCTGTCGCCTGCGGCACGCGATCCTCTCCACCGCAACTGCTGCTAACCCAGTGCTTTGCCCCGCCCCCCTTGCCCTCCCCGTCCCGCTGCCGCTGCAGACTGCGACGCCCCGCTGGCCAGCCAGCTGCCCTTTGCCTGGCCGCGCACGGCGGCGCGCACCATCCCTGCCACCTGCTGACCTGGAGGCCCCCACGCGCATGCAGGGCTGCCCCTCTTTCCCTCGCAGCCAGCCCTGCCACACCTTGTAGATCTGCTGCACTGCTGCACCCACCCGCGGGTCCACTGCCGGCGGCGGCGCCCTCTGTTGCCTTGTCAAGGGCGCCCCCGCCCAGGCGGCTGCCTGTGATAGCGCAGCCGCCTGCCCCTCCCCCCCTCCCCCCCCCCTATTTCATCCCTTCTGCCTGTGAACGCCAACGCAATGCCAAGGAAACCAAATCGCTTATCTTGCACTAATTATTCCCCCCCGGGCGCGCGACGCGCATGTCCAGTTTTTGATTGTCGCGCAGTGCGCCGCCCCGCCTGCACGCACACGCCACCGCCTCTTTGCGCGGTCGACCGGGGGCAGCTGCCCTGCCCCCCCATGTTGCAACCCTCCTGACCGCATTCCCTGCATCCCTCTGAACCTGGCCCAGCACCACCCTGCCGCTCCCCACCAAGCCCTTCCCGCCACTTTTCGTGTCCCGCTTGCGCCTCCACGGCACCCCCATCCCCTTGCACGCCGCACGGCACCGCGCCTGCCCCCCTTTGATTCCCATGCCCCCCCCTCTGTGTCGTCCTGCATGTGTCTGGGGTCCTGCACTTCTCTTCCATACGCACGCCTCCCCCCTTTTCCCTTGCCCCCTTTTCACTCTGGTCGCTGCCACGCAGCTCACCTTACAGAGCCACCCTCCCTCCACTTAGCGCTTTTGCTTCGGGTCTGGATGGCGGCGATGGCCCATTGCGGTCGCTGACTCATCTCTTTGCATTCACGCCACGCGCCTTTTCCCCCCCTTTTCTTTTGCACCCCGCTGTGCCGGAAACGAACGGCTGGAAACAATCGAATCGTTGGAAGAAGTTGTCCCCTCTCGCTGCCCGCCCCCGCCCAGCCGGGCGCGGCGCAGTTTTTCCCGCCTGCATTGCCGTCAGTGCCGTGCCGGTGCGTCCCTCCTGTCCCCGGGGCAGCAGCCCCCCTCTGCCGACTGCGCTCTCTGCGTACGATGTGGGGCCCGTCTTCTGTATGAATACCTGCACTTGTTTCCACCTGTACCATCTGTCCCGCTGCCCCCCAGCGTCTCAGCACTGGCAGCCTGCCGGCTCACCACACCCCCATTTCGCCATTTCATTCCCCGCATGCCCACCCCTGCATCTCGGCTCCTTTTCGTTGCAGCATTGTAAGGATCCATCCCACACTACCAGGCAGCAGGCAGGCAGGAGGGCCGGGTGGGACCTGTGGGCGAAGAGAAGGGCAAGGCACACGTGCCGGCACGGCTGTCCCATCACGCCGCCAGCAGCGGCACCCCCTCTGCCGCCTCCTGCAGGCTGACGGGCGCCAGCCTGCCCCCCGCAAACAGCAGGTTGCGGGTGGGGCGGTCCACATAGCTGGCCAGGTCGTCGTCGCGGCCGCCCCCCACAAAGCTGGTGCTGCAGGCGCCGTGGCGGGCCGCCAGCCCCGCCAGCGCCGCCGCCAGGCGGGCCTGCCCCTCGCGCTGCGCCTGCCGCGCCTGCGGGTCCAGGAAGCCGGCAGCCAGGACCGCGTTGCACACGGCCTGGCACAGCGCGCTGGGCTGCATGGGCATGCCCAGCCACAGCGCCAGCGGCAGCCAGGCAGGCTCCGCCGCGCCGCGGCTCGCGGGCGGCGCCGCCGCGGCCGAGGGCTCCTTCAGGAGCCGCACGTATCCCAGGCTGCCGCCCACGCCCAGCTGCTGCAGTGCGCTCGCCAGGCCCGCGGGCAGCACCACTTCCAGAGGCTGGCCGCTGGGCAAGAAGCCCACCGCTCGGGCCGGCGGGCCGCCGCCGGCCGCTCCGCTCGCGCCGCCGTTGCCGCCGCCCGCACCGCCGCCAGGCGTCGCCTCGGGGGACTCAAAAGGGTTCCAGCTGCTGCCGCCGCCGCCGCCGCCGCCCAGCGGGCCTTCTCCTCCTCTGCCGCCGCCGCCACCGTTGCTGCTGCTGTCGTCGCCTGCTGGCGCCCCGGGAGCTAGCGGGAGCGGCACGTCGATGGTGACTATGGGGGGTGCGTCGGAGAGCTGCGAGCGGGAGGCGGCGCCGGTGGCGGCGCCGCCGCTGCCGCCGCTCCCAGCTTCTGGCAGTACCAGCGGCTGGACCAGCAGGGCGGTACGCTGCAGGTACTCATTGAGGGTGTACAGGAGGAACTGGGCGTCGGCCACCACCGGCAGGCTCTGCAAATGGGGGGCAGGGCGCGGAGGAAGGAGAGGGGAGGGGACGACCGGCGGCGCAGACTGTGGGGAGAGAAGGGGTGGCGCAGGGGCGGCGCCGGCATGGGAGCAGAGGCTCAGGTGTGAGCAGCTGCGGCGTGGGAGGCCAGCGCAGGCAGGCCCTGCCCCGGCCGCAGCGCTGCATGGGCCGGCGCCGCCGCACCTGCGCCCGCACGGCGGCGGCGTCCCACGGCCACAGCAGCGCGTGGCTGGCGCCTCGCAGCTCGGCTGGCAGCCGCCGCAGCTGCTGGCCCGCGGCCAGCGCCAGCGAGCGCGGACCGCAGCCCGCCGCAGCGTACAGCGCCAGCTGCAGCCAGGGCGTCTGCGCCGCGGGGATGGGGCCGTAGTTGACGGGAGACACGGCGCGGCCCGCGGACAGCGGCAGCGGCGGGAAGGCCAGGCTGGTGATGGGCAGCACGGCGCCGTAGCTGTGGCTGAGGATGCGGAAGGCCTGGGGCGGGGGCATGCCTGCCAGGCTCTCCTTGCGCAGCAGCTCGATAGGGCGCCCGCCAGCGCAGGCTCGGATGCACTCCAGCACCAGCGCCAGAGACCTGCAAGCAGCGAGGACGGGCTGGCTGCTGGTCAGCGTGCGGGGTTCTGGGCTGGCCGGCGCGCTTGCGGGGAGGGACCAGCTCTGCGGCGGGCAGCACGTCGCAGGGTGCGGCTGCGCCCAGCCGCGTCGCGGCCAGGATGCACAACAGCATGGCGCCAGCCTGGCGCCGCCGCTGACCTGGCATAGTCCACCAGGCTCTTCATCTCGCCCTCGAACCCCTGGCTCATCTCCACGCTGGCGTGCAGCTCCGCAATCAGCTCCGCGATGACCTGTGGGTGGGCAGGGAAGAGGAGGGCATGAGGAGGTGGAAAGGAGGCTGGGCAGGCATGGAGGGGTGGACGGGATGCAAGCAGAGGGTGGCGAGGAAGGAGGATGGGGAGATGGGCAGGATACAGGCAGGTGAAGGAGGGTAAGCGAGCACACTGGGGCATGGTGAGGAGAGGAAGGGCCGTGGGCGGCATGGGCTGCCGGGGGCGGGGGCATGTTGCCATGCAGCCCTGCCCGTCTTTCCTCCTGCGCTCACCTCTGCGCCGTACACCCGGCCTCCCTCGAACAGAGTCACTGCAGAAGGCAGAGGGAGGCGCAGGCAGTGGGCGGGCACCAAGGCGTGCAGCGGCAGCAGGCGGCAGCAGCATGCCAGCAGAGCGGCTTGTGAGAGGGAGCAGCACGCGCGGCGGCGGCACGCCTGCGTGCGCCCCAGGGCATGCCCCCACCTGAGTGCTTCTTGCAGTTGGGGGTGAGGGCTCCCATCATCAGGTAGCCAGTCACCTGCAGTACATGCGGTACAGCAGGCGAGGTACAAAAAGGGAGGTACGGCAGGTGAGGCACGGCAGGGGAGGCAGGGCAGGTGAGACACGACATGTGCCAGGCGCGCCATGCCTGCGCTGTCACGCCTGCCCTCCGCTGGGTGGCAAGCGGCGAGCAGCTACTGCCCCCCACCCCACCCTGGCACACAAATCCCCAGCAGTGCGCCACACACACACACACACGCGCGCGCGCGCGCGGGCATGCATGCATGCATGCACGCACCTCAGCATCCACCACAAAAGCGATGCCGGCGCCGCCCTGGCCGGCGCCGCCCTCCTCGTGGTGGTGGGAGGGATCCAGCGGCGACTCTGCCAGCCCCTCGGGGCCCCTGCAGCACACCCAGGGCCAGGCATCCAGTTGGGAACGCGTGCGTATCCAGGCCAAGGCATCCGGTTGGGGAGGGAGGGCCGGGGCTCAGCGCTGGAGTGGCGGGCACGGCGTGCTGCCAGCCGGCCCAGGCCCCAAAGGCTGCTCGGCTGCCTGCCCGTGCGCCCGGCCGCCTTCTCCACCACACGCCACATGGTGCCGCCTCCAGCCCTCCAGCCCACACGCTCTGCCTGCCACAGGCCAGCCTGCGTGCGCTGCTCCGCCCCTTGCTCACGGGTTGTGCTGCTACTTTACCCTCTGCTGCCCCTGGTGCTGCTACCCCTCCCTCCACCACACACCCCTTGCTCTGCTGCCCCTGGTGCCGCTGCCACCCCTTGCTCCACACACACACACACATGCACACACACCTCAGCATGGCATCCAAGTCCAGAGCCTCCAGGCTGCCCACGGCCATGGAGGCTGTGGGGGAGCCCAGCCCGCCTGCGCCGCCCTCCTCCCCGTCCAGCTTGCGGCAGAAGCGCAGGCGGCAGGCCATGGAGATGGCCACCCTGCAGAGAGAGGCAGGGGAGAGGGGTGGAGGGGTGCAGGGAGCAGTGGTGGAGGGAGGACGGGTGGAGGCAGGGGTGGAGGGAGGGCGGCAGGAGGGAGGCGGAAAAAGGGAGGCAGGAAGGGTGGAGGGAGGGGTGGAGATAGGCGATGCGGGAAAGGGGCGTGTGGGGAGAGTGGAGCAGCGCGGGCGTGAGAGAGAAGGGAAGGGCGGAGTGGGGAGGCAGGCTGGCGCTGCAAGCTCCGGTCCCCGGCATGCCCGCCAGCACTTGCATCCGCCCACCACCCACACACCACAACCCGGCCAGCGTCTCCCCACTCTACACACACACACACACACACATTCCACCACACCCTCCACCACAGCCCTACAGGCCACCACCCAACCACGCCACCCATCCAACCACACCTCAGCGTGGCCACATCCACATTCAGGATGTCGGCCAGCTTCGCCACCGTGACGCGGTCAGAGGCAGCCACGAAGATCTGCGGTGGCAGGGCAGGCAGGGGCAGGTGGTGGCAGGGCAGGGCAGGCAGGGACGGGCGGTGGCAGGGCAGGCAGGCAGGGACAGGCTGGCCGGCGGGCAGGGGCAGATGGCAGGTCAGGAAATCAGGACACGGAGCGGCCAGCAGTGGCGCCCGCGCGGCCGGCAGGCCAGAGGTACAGGTGCAGCGAGGCTCAGCCGAGGGTGGAAGGGCCGGTAGCTGCACAGAGCCTGGCGCCTCCCTGGAACCGCACAGTGCCTGGCGCCTCGCGACTTGAAAACACCTGCGTGCTTTCTCCCTTCCTCACCTGGTACAGCAGCGTCTCCAGCGGGTCTGCCGCCGTGGCTGCGGTGGTGGTCTTGTTGGACACAAAGCCCTGCAGGTGTGGCGGGGCAGCGACAGGGGCAGCACGGGGGGTGGAGGAGCGGGCAAGCGAAAGCAGCGAGGGGCCCTATTAACAGCTAGACGTGTACAGCACACCACACCACACCGCACCACCTGCATGCCGGCCTGACTTGCCCCGCGTCCAAGCGGTGGTACTGACAAATACCAAAGCTGGGCGGTACCCACCTCCAGGGGGGGTATGGACAGGTGGTCCTCTGGCCGCACCGGCACCTCCAGCCACACCAGGCCACGCTGGTACAGCTGGCGTACCGCCATGCCGTTGAGGTCGGCGTACCGCGCGCCCCCCGGCCGCGCCGCGATGTGGCACACCTGCGGGCGCAGGCAGGCAGAAGGGTTGGTGGTGCATGGCGGTGGCGGTGTGTGTTTGGAGGCAGGAGCGAGGCGGGGGAGCTCGCGGCATGTGGAGCGTGGCAGAGGGGCGCGTGGGCAGGGCCAGCAGCTGCGGCAGGTTCGTGGCAGGCCAATGCTGACGTGGCACAGGCGCTGAGCTGGCACCCGCTGAGCTGGCGCACCGTGGCCTCTGTGGGGTCCAGCTGCCGGTACTCGGTCTCCCCCAGGTTCACCACATGCACCAGCCACCAGGGGTCTGCAGGGGGGGAGGGGCCACAGCCGCAGCTTTTTAGCTTCTTCTTCTCTTGAGGGGCGTGCTCTTGGTATGGCGTATTGGCTATGGGGACGGCGCAGGCGATGCATAGGCAAGCATCCCTGCTGGAACATGACTGCTGGGGGCCTGGTGCAACGGGCAGGAGCAGGCCGGCATGCTTTCCAGCAAGCTGCCTCGTGCGCCGCCCGGCCACGAGTCACATCCAGCCCAGCCGCCGCCAGTCCTGCCACCCACCCACCTATCTGGATGTTGAGGGGCGACTGGGGCAGCAGGTCCTTGACCAGCCCCTTGTTCATGCGCCACATCAGCTTCTTGCTCTTGGCCTGCGCCGCACGCGCGCGCAGCGGCGAGCCAGGCTGGGACCCCCAGCACCCCCAGCCGCCCCCAGCGACCCCATCCACACACAAAAGCAGCCTTGCCGTGACGACCGCCACCAACACCACACCACTTCAAAAATCACAGCCAGCAACAGCCCCACACGCCATCGCCGTCGCGCCGCACCCCAGGCCGACGACATTGGGACCACCTGCCCTCACCCCACCCCACCCCACCTGCACCATGATGGCGATGTATTCGTTGCGGCCGATGCCCATGATGCGCACAATGTCGGCGGCCTGGCGTGGCGGGGGCGGCAGGCAAGAGCAGCGGGCGGGTGGTTAGGGGTTTTGGGCTGTCATCTCGAGCGCGGCATACAAGGGGCGACTACGGGTGATGACGCGGGAGGAGGTGGCATGTTTGTTTGTTGTGTGGGGACAGGCTCTGGGCAGGCATGGCTTGCCCCCACCCGCGCTCTTCCCAGCTGCTCCCTCCTCGGCCTGAACCCCTGCGAACCCCCAGCCACTGACAGCTCCAGGCACCCCACCGTGAAGTTGGGTATGGAGTCGTAGGGGTGGTCCTCCCTCATGGCATCCACCAGGATGGAGGCATAGTACTTGAACGGGGTGAGCCGCATCTGGCGGCACACAAACTCGCCCAGGTGGTACGGGAAGAGCTGCGGGGGCGGTGGTGGTGTGGGTGAGGTGGTGGTGGGGTCGCGGTGCGCAAGCAGTACAGGACGCCCCGAGTGTGTCCTCGACGCCCGCCAGGGTCGGTCTGCGTGGCGGCCACCCACCCAACAGCCAGCCAACATGTGCAGCGCCTGGGTGCTCGCTGAGCAGGCGCTCACCCGCTTCTGCCCGCGGTAGTACCGCACAAGTTCCTCGTAGTAGTCTGCCTCGGGGCAGGCTGTGTTGGCCACGGAGCCCACCCAGGAGAGGCCGCGGGAGATGGCAAACTCCTTGACGCTGCAGGCGGGGGAGAGGCAGACCACATCGGATGGGGAGAGGGGCATGGGTGCACGGCGGCAGCGGCAGGTGCAGGCGTGCCAAGGGGCACACTGCGAGGCCTGCGCCCAGCGCGCTTCAAGGCAGCAGCGCAGCGCAGCAGCCAGCATTCGGCCGGGCTGAGCCAGGCAGCGGCGCGCGCTCCGCACAACACGCGCCGCACCGGCGCTTCCAATCATCCTCTGTCACCGTCTGGCGGAAGCGGTCGGGCAGCTCTTGATAGCGCTTGCCATTGGCGATGAACTTGTTGAGGTACTCTTCAGTCGCCATGGCTGCTTAAGCTGCTAGCCAGTTAGGGATGCCACCTTGCTATGCTCTGCAGCACCAGCGGCAGCGGCGGGTGCTGGGCGGCGGCGGCGGCGGGCAAGCCGGGCCGGGTTTGGGCGTTGCGGCAGCGGCTTCGCGGCGCCGCCCTCGTACCTCACTGATCCAGGGCGAGCCAGGGCGGCCGCCCGATCAACCCCCAAGTGATCGATCAGGGTCAACGTTACCGCCCGTTCGTCCTCTCGCAATATGCAGCCATCGCCGCCTCTTCACTGGACGAAGGCCGGGGCGAGAAGAGATGCACTGCACAAAAGGGGGCCAGGCTGTCCCGCCAGGCTGTCGCCGCCGCCGCCCCGCTCCTCGACGAGCCACAGCAGGAAGCCCGAGCTCTTCTTGCTTCCTGGAGCTCGAGAGTGTCTCGCAAGGCGATCTGATTGATGCATAGGCCCTCACACTTGCAGCATCAATTTGGGCATATGGGCGGGAGCTTGCCACCGCCCAGGGCACGGCCCCAGCCACACGTCAATCACCGAACACCCTGCTTCCTCCTCTCCCAGTCAACATGTTGAATCTGATGCAGAAAGCAGGCAGAATGGATGCTGATGTGCCAGAGTGACGATTGCAATGAAATAGAGCAGAATCCGATCCGCCTCACGCCTTGAGGCTCTTGCTGACAATCTCAAACACGTTGTCGCTGAGGCCCTCTGTGTCCATGATGCGCTGCAGCTGGGCACGCATCAGGGCCTGCAGGGTGGTGGGGCGGGCGATCGGTTGACGGGTGGGTGGCTGGGTGTGGGAGAAGATGAGGAGCGAAGTGGGGTTTCTCACACACACAAACATACCTGCCACACACACACACACACACACACACACACACCTGCCGCTGCTGGTCGTAGTTCTTGAAGGTGGTGAAGGCAGAGACCATGCGGGAGGCCACCTGCGGGAAGAAAGAAGGCAGGGAAGGGGACAGTGAGGGCACACGAGTGTGCGCGCGCAAGCAGCAACGCCACCCGACTGCGATGGTGGGCCAGGGCAGGCCGCGAGGTGCGGAAGGGCACCAGCGCTGTGTGCCGGGGCCCAACGGCTGGCAGGCAGGGGCGCGCCGCAGCGCCCCTCCAGGCTGCGCCAGGTGCCAGTTCTCGGCGCAGCTGCCAGCTCGCCGTTCCTGCCAGCTCGGCACTCCTGCCAGCTCAGCGCCAGCTCAGCTCACCTGGTGGTTGATCTTGTCCAGCTGCAGCACCACGTCGCCCATGAACTCATACCCGCTGCCGTCGGCTGCAGGCGTAGGAGGGAGTGGTAGGAGGGAGAGGGAGGGAGGGGAGAGGTAGAGGGAGGGAGGGCGGGCAGGACGGGGAGGGAGGGAGGAGTTGGTACCAAAGGGAGCTAGTGTGCATGGCAGGGCAGCGAGCTGGCACCCGACAGCACCCCTGACAACAAAATACATATGTGTGTGTATTCCCCACCCCACGCCGGCGTGGCCACACCCACGCGCGCCGTATCCAACCACCCACCACCCATTGACCATCCACTGAGCACCCACCGGCGTGGAAGTTGACTGGGGAGCGCGCAAAGCCCAGGAAGAGGGAGTAGCAGGAGTTGGGGTTGGTGATGTGGAAGGCTGGGTGGGCCATCAGGCGCCGCACCGCCGCCACGTTGCCCGCCACGTTGCTGCCGGCCTGCGGGGGGTGGGGTGGGGTGGGGTGGGGGTGCTGATGGTAGGTGGGTAGCTGTGTGCCCCTCCTGAGCAAAGCAGGCAAACACCAGGCCCGCCCCACAGCATTCTACTGCCCCCTGCCCGCTCCGCCATCAACACAGCAGCGCAACATCAGCAGCACAGCGGCAGAAATTCAGCACGGCAGGGGCCCAGCAGCACCAGCGGCGGCAGGGTACCTGCAGCGCCAGCCACTTGAGCAGTACCAGCGGCTCCTGCTCCCATTTCTGGTAGAAGCCGGTGAGGGCCGCCTGCCGCGCCTCCACGCACCCGGGCGCCGCGCCCACCAGGCCGCCTACATGCCGAGGAGGGACGGGGTAGAGCGGGGGCGAGGCGCGGGTCGGCAGCAGAAGGGGCCGGGGGCGGCCAGCGGGCCCTACGCACGCTCCCACGAGCCAACCAGGCCCACACCAACAGCCCCAAACCCAGTCCCCACGAGGCACCACGGGCCCACAGACCCGCAGCACCTGCGCAGCCCAGCGCCGCTGCTCGCACACCAGCCATCCACAGACCCGCCCACAGGCACCTGCCCACAGGCAACGCAGACCCCCCACCTGCGCGGTCCAGCGCCGCCAGAGCGTTAATCTCATCCGTCATGTTGGTGGCTCCGCGGAAGCGGTGCAGTAGCTGCTCCGTCACGCCAGGGTCGCCCAGCGCCGCCAGGTAGCCCTGCGGGAGGGCGGGGAGGGGCGCATGGGGTGGTCGGGTAATGAGCGGTCAAGTGGGGTGAGGCGGTGCATGCCGGGGGGCGTGTGGGAGGCACAGCGCGAGTCAGGGAGATGCAGAGACAGCATGAGCGGTGCTAGCAACAGCGGGCAGCCGGCCGGCGCCGTCTGGCCGACGGGCGCGGCTGTTGCTGCTGCCGCTGCTCGCAGACGGGGCGGGCAGCCCCGGCAAGGCCCAGCAGCGCCCGAGCGGGTGCCAGGCAGGGGGCTCACCAAAGCCTTGTTCTTCAGCGCTCGCCGGGCGCAGGCGGCCGCCGTGAACTCATACTGCTCCCCCGGGGCTGCGGGCAGAGAGGGAAGAGCGGGGGTCAGGCAGGTATAGAGAAGTGGGGGTGCGGAAGGTGAGGGAGAGTGTGAGGTTAGGGAGAGCAGGAGTGGCAGGCGAGGCGCCACTTCAGCTCAGCGCAGGCGAGGGCAGGGGCAAGGAGAGGCCAGCGGAGGCCAGCGGCACATGAAGTGCATCCCTCCTGCAAACCTCTCTCCACACAGCGCCACACCCACAGCGCCGCAGCCGCTGCAGCCCACCTGAGTCGTTCTCCGCCACCGCCGCCTCCAGCTCGGGCCGCAGCCGCGCCGCCAGCTGGCGAGTAAGGAACTCACGCACCTGGCACGAGGGTAGGGCGAGGGCAAGGTGGTGTTCAGCAAGCGTGTGTGGGGTGCGCACCGCAGTGCGCAGTGTGTGTGTGTGGTGGGGAGTTCCCCGGGGCCGGGCGCCGCGTGCGCAGCGGGGCAGCCGGCGCGGCTGGCGCAGCCGCCGCCGCTGCAGCCCTGCCGCTGCGCCACATCAGCGCCACATCAGCGCCACATCAGCGCACGTCGCGCTCGCACCTCGTGCAGCAGGATGGGGTCGGCCTCCGGGATCTTGTCCATGAGTTCCGAGTTCTCGGGCAGCGAGATGGCAAAGGCCTTGAAGGCGCCGTCCACGCGGGCGTCTGCAGCGGCACGGGCGGTACCGCAGGCAAGGACGCGGCACAGTGCGTGCGTGCTTGTGGGGGAATGCGCGATGCAGGCGCGCGTGCGTGTGTGTGGGGCCAGGGGAAGGGTTGAGCGGTGGCCGCAGCGCCGGCGGCAGGCGGGCGTTGCGGCTGGCAGGTCGCGGCAGCCCCGCTGCCAGCCCGCCCGCCAGGCCAGCCCACCCACCCTTGAGCAGGGAGCGGTAGGCATCGACCAGGCTGGGCTTGACGCCGCCGGCGGCCTCAAAGCGCTCCGCCACGCTGCCCTGCAGGAAAGAAGGCGGGCAGGGTGGCAGGGGGAGGACGGGGTGCGATCCAGCAGCCCATCAGCTGCACCGCATGCAGACGCCGCCCCTGCTGCAGCTCTCTCGCGCACAACTGACACACATGGAAGCGAAATCTTGCCTTGATTCGGGCCTCACACAAACATCCGCAGGCGCATACACACCACACACCGCACACCAACACGTGCGCACACACACACACCACACACACACACCATGCCCGTACCACCCAACCCACGCCCGCCCACCTCGTTGCTGTCCTTGGCAGCTGCATACAGAGCCCGCATCAGCTTCTTGGCCAGCACATGCCCCGCCTCCCAGCGATTGAACGAGTCTGCAGCAGAGCGCGAGGGCGCGGGCCAGGCGGGGTTTAGGGTTGATTAGGCCGGGGCGCCGGCAGGCAGTGGGGCCTCGAGCTGCCCCTCCTGCCAACCACCACCGCTACCCGCACACCCACCCACGATAGTCCTCCCTCCCCAGGCCATTGCTGCCCACTGCTCCTGCCGACACACCCACACCCAAACCCATATACACACAAGCGCGCACGCACCTGTGTCGTGTGCCAGCAGGTGCAGCAGGTCCTCATCGCTCTGCCCCTCAACCGTCATGTGCACAGGCGCTGCACAGCCCAGGAAGGCAGGCAGGCAGGCAGGCAGGCAAGCAGCGAACAGGCCAGCAGCGAACAACCCACGTCAGCACCGGCAAGGCGGAGGGAGGGGCAGGGCCGAGGCGCTGGCTGGTGCGGTCTCTAGCGGCCAGCGCTGGTGGCGGGGCCCAGGCAGGCAAGCCTTCGGCCCGCACTCAGCCAGGGTGCACCTGAGAAGCCGCGCAGCAGCGACGGCACCGGCGCCTGCTCCACGCCCTCAAACACAAACTCCTGCTCCGCCTTGGTCACCCGCAGCACCGCCTCGCTGCCCAGCATCTCGCCGCTGCAGGCGGCAGCCGCGACGCCGGTGGCAGCAGCAGCGGCAGGCGAAGGGAGGTCGGCAGCGGTACCGCGAGTACCGCCTCCAGCAGGCAGGAGGAGAGCCGGCAGCAGCCGACAGCGCGCCCGGCGTGCGGCGGGCACCCTTCCCTGCGACACGGAGCTAGGCCTACAGAACCACAAACAGCCGGAGACCCCCTGCCTGCCCTCCCTCCTGCTGAACTCACCCGCGCAGCTTCAGGGGCACCTCGCCGCCATCTGGAGCCAGCAGGCCCATGCGCACCGGGATCAGCACTGGGTCCTTGGTGGGCTGCCCAGGGGTGGGCTTGATAGTCTGCGCAGAGAGGGGGTGAGAGGGGAAGCCGGAAAGGAGGGCACGTGGGCAGGTGCACGGCAGGGAGGCAGGGAGGCGGGCGGGAGGGAGCATGCAGCACGCGGCAGGCGGCACGCAGCAGGTGCGGCGCCCTGCCAGCAGCAGCAGCAGTGGCAGCAGTCTGCGTCGGCGGCAGCAGGCAGCACGCCGCGCGGTCGCCTGCACCGGCAGCAGCAGGCGGCGCGCCCCACAACTCGCCTGCTTGAAGCGCAGAGTGTAGGTCTTGTCGGCGGGGCTATACTCGGCTGCCACCGAGAGGCGCGGGGTGCCCGCCTGGCTGTACCACCTGCACAGGCGGTACCAGGCAGTACATCATGAGGATGCAGGGCAGCCGGTTGGGCCGCCAGGCGGGCGCCAGCACGCAGGCAGGCCACCTCCTGCCGCCCTGCATGACCACGTGGCAGCAGGGAGCGCGCGCATCGGCGCCCAGGGAACCTCAAGAGTTCAGAGGCTCACTTGGCGAGCGCCGACAGGTCCTCGCCATTGGCGTCGGCCATGGCAGCCAGGAAGTCGTCGCAAGTGACAGCCTGCAGCAAAGGCGTGGGAGCGAGGGATGCGGGCTATCACGGTGCCGGGGAGCTCTGGCCAGAAGGGCAGCTGCCGGCGACGATGAGGGGGCTTGGTCCCCGGCTGCCTGGCACCAATCAAGGTCTGTCGTAGGCAGCGCTGCGCTGCCTGGTGAGCTGGCGCTGCAGTACATCAGCGGTACCGCTACGGTACCGTACCTGCCCATCGTGGCGCTGGAAGTACAGGTCCATGCCCTTGCGGAAGCCGGCCTTGCCCAGCACAGCCTCGTACAGGCGGATCACCTCCGCGCCTGCAGCCATGAGCACGAGCACGCGCGTGCGTGTGTGCGTGGGTGGGGGGTGGGGGTGCAGTTGTGGCAGGTGTGTGTGGCCTTGGCTGAAGGCCATGCGAAGCTTTCTCAAGGGCCCCGCCAGCCCCGCAGCCAGCAGTCCAGCCAGCGCCAGGCGGCGCTCCGTGACGCTCTGCCAGCCAGCCCCGCGGCCACCACACCCTTCTCGTAGACCGTCAGCGTGTAGAAGTTATCCATCTTTATGTAGGACTCGGGGCGGATGGGGTGGGCCATGGGGCCTGCGGTAACGCCAACGTTGGGCATGGGCAGGGGGCCCGGGCGTGGTGAGGTTAAGGCACGCAGGATGGAATGGCACAAAGGGCGGCGTGCCTAGCATCGCAGCTGCAGCGCAGGAGCCCATGCTGCCCTGTCGGCTGCCCCAAGCAGGCACCGAGCCACCGAAGCAGACGGCATGCGGTGGTGGCGCGAGCGCCGGGCCCTCTGTGTCGCTGGTTCCTTAGCGGGTACAAATGCATGCAGACTGTACACTCAGGAAGCAAACGCCGCCCCCTTCCCACCGGTACCGCCTCACCGTTGTCCTCCTGGAACTGCGCCGCCCGCAGGCGGCACACATCCTCCACCCGCCTCACGGGGCGGCTGTTCATGTCGGCGCTGAACTCCTGCAGGGCAGGGCACGCAGGGCTTGGGTCGCGTTAACGTTGTTGCGTGCCGCTACGCGTTACGGCGGTGGGAGGGATCAGGTTTTGACAGCTTGAGGCGCGCCGGGAGGGGTGAGCAGCACAGGTGGCGGGAGCACATCTGCTGGCCCGCGATTGCAGTACCGCCGTGCGCTTGCGGTACTACCGCTCTGAAAGCGGCCCCCACCTGGTCACGGTACACCGTCAGGCCTTCCTTGAGCGTCAGCTGGAACCAGTCGCGGCAGGTCACGCGGTTGCCCGTCCAGTTGTGGAAGTACTCGTGCCCCACCACGCCTGCACCATCGGTTTGGCTTCGTTTGGAGGGAGGGTGGGGTGGTTGTACTCTTTGCAGACACGCCTACGCGCCAGCACATAACACACAACACAGGCACCCAGCCCCTGCGCCCAGCTGCCCACCCTCGATGCGCCCAAAGTCGCCGTCGGTGGCGGTGTCGGGGGTGGCCAGCACGAGGCGGGAGTTGAAGATGTTGAGGCTCTTGTTCTCCATGGCTCCTGCGGGGGTGCAGGTTGGGAAAGCATGGAATCAGTGCTGCAAGGCAAAGAGCAGGGAGGATTGCAGGCTGCAGGCGCGTGCTGCAGTGACGGAGCCAGCTGGGGGTGACGGCGATGCAGCCCCAGCAGCATCCACCAGCAGCCCATCCGCAGCGCCACGTGGATACCGGTACGGTATCTGCGGTACCGTGCCTCACCCATGTTGAAGTCGTCCACGGCAACAATGTTGAACAGATCCAGGTCGTACTCCAGCCCAAACACCTCCTCATCCCACCTGCAAGCACGCAGACATGAACGAAATTCTGGGCTCGGTTGTGATTGGGCAACGGGCCAAGGAGGCACACTTGTGTGCACGGTTGCTGCAGCAGCAGGGCAGCGTGCGCATCCTCCCCCCCCGTGGCCCCTGCCCCAACGCATCCCAGCCCACCAAAAAACACCCAGCCAGCCCCAGCCCCAGCCCACCAGCCCCCAGCCTCACTCACTTCATGGAGCGCTTGAGCGACTGCATGGCAAAGTCGACGCGGCCGATGTCGTGCGCGCGGGTGAAGATGCGCAGGGCCACGCTGCGCCCGCTGCAGGTGGTGAAGGTGTCCTCCTGCGGGCGGCGGCGGCGGCGGGGGTGGCGCGGGTGAGGGACGGGGAGGGCGAGGGTGTGCCATGGGCTGTGTAGAGCCAACACGTCTGCACCAGCTGCACCCCAGGCCGGCGCGCCCAGCCAGCCCAGCACCAAAGCCTCGGCCCAGCCCAGCACAGCCCACCCTCACCCAGCCGCGCCGCAGCCAACGCAGCGTGACACCCAGGCCAGCCTGCCCCGCCTCCATGCGCAGGTCCCCATCCCACCCAGCCCCTTCTGCCCAGCCCCTTCAGCATTCCGGGCCATCAGCCCAGGCCCAGCCCACACCAAACACCTGTCCCTGCCACACAGCCCCGCCCCACCTTCATGCACAGGTCTCCCGCCACCAGGGCAAACAGGTAGCATGGCTTGCGGAAGGGATCCTCCCACACCGTGAAGTGGCGCCCGCCCTCCGCCTCCCCCGACCCCACCAGGTTGCCGTTGCTGAGCAGCACGGGGCAGGCGGCCTTGTCGGCCTCGATGCGTGTGGTGTACCTGCGGGTGGGTGGGTGGAAAGTAAAGGTGGTGGAAAGCCATGGTACACCACGGTGAGAGGGCAGGGTAGCGAAAGGGTTGCAGGAGCAGAGGGGCCGAGGCTCTGAGCCAACATGCGCAGACATACACACACAGCGGCAGCACCAGCGCCAGCGCCAGCAGCAGAGGCCGCGCAGCAGAGGCCGCGCCAGCGCCAGAGGCCCGGCCCAGCCCGCCAGCCAGCCTCACTTGGCCATCACATCGGGTCGGTCCATGAAGAAGGTGATGCCCCGGAAGCCCTCCGCCTCGCACTGTGGCAGGATGGTGTGGCGTGGTGGGGTGTGGTGGGGTGATGGGTGGTAGGATGGCACAGGAGAGTGCCTTGCAGGCACACGCAAGCCACGCGGGCCAGCAACGGCCGCGCGCCTGTGCTCACAACAGTGCACAACTCTGCTGCGGCACAGCCCCGGCACGGCGCCTGCGCCGCAGCTTTGGGGCGCCAGTACCGGCGGTACCGCGCGGCGCCTGCCCACACCTGCGTGCAGAAGTTGCCCCCCGACGTGTACAGCCCCTCCAGGGACGTGTTCTGGTCTGGGTGAAGGTCAGTGTGCACCTCCAGCTCAAACGCGCCTGGCGCAGGGGTGGAGGGAAAGGCGGCAGCGAGTGGGGAGGCGAGGAGGTGGTTGGGAGGGGAGGGGTATCCGGGGTGGGCTGGGGGAGCTCTGGGTGGGTGGGGGCCCGCAGGTGCGCAGCAAGTGCCATGCCATGCCTGCTGGGCCTGCCTCTCTCTTCCAGTACCCTCGCACTTTACCCTCCTGCTGAAGGCGGCGCTCGGGCAGGGCAGCGGGCACAGCACTGGGCCCGCGCCACCCGCGCCTGCCCGCCGCCTCCCCGCCGAGCCAGCCTTGCCGCGGGGCTCACCCGCGGGCGGGGTCTTCAGGGTGAGGCCGCTTGACTCCACCTCATACTGCTCAACAGGCAGGCTCTCGCCGTTGACCTTCACAGCCACCAGCTTCACGTCTGCGCCGAGGCAGGGTGTGTGCAGGAGCAGCGCGTGAAGAGCAGGGAGAAGAGGAAGGGAGTGGCTTAGCCTGCCTTGAAGCGGCACCACGGCAGACGCGGGAAGAGAGCGAGCGGCAGGCCGCCTGGTGAGGCTGCGCGTTCGCCACTGATGGTAGCGACGCCGCGCGTGCGGAACGCCGCATCAGCGAGCGGTGGTGGCTCCCACAGGGGCGCAGGGGTGAGCCGCTCACCCTCGCAGCCGTGCAGGAAGAGCGGTGGGCGCTCCGAGGCGGCGTGGTTGGGCAGGACCTGCATGCAGCTCTCAACGCGCGTCACGGTGTCCCCCAGAAGAAAGTTGAGGTGCACCGAGTCGATCAGGTACGGCGGGGGTGTGTAGTCCTGCAGAGCGGCACGCAGCGTTGGGGGGGAGGTCGGCATGGGGAGGGCAGGCATGGGGAAGGCAGCATGTCCAGGCTGCTGCGCCTGGCGGCAGCGGGAGGATGGTGATGCTGGCATGCGCGCCACCCAACTGCCTGCCGGTAAGAGCTTAAGCCGCCTGCACACACACACACACCTTGCGGAAGAACTCCTTGTGGGCCTGGCCAACCATGGCGTCGTCTGTGGCGGGGGCAGCCGCGGTGGCAAACGCGGGGAAGCCGAGCGGGCGGCCGGCTCGCTGGGCGGGTGCGGCGGGAGCGGCTGCGCGGAGCTGCGGCGCGAGCCGGGTGCCGGCGAAGCTGGTGGGAAAGGAGTCTGCGGGTTGACACAGCACAGGACGCAGGACGCAGGATGAATCGAGGGCTGCGCTGGGGCTGAGTTCCAGCCGCGAAGGCCTGTGCCCTAGCTGGCGTGGCGGCAGCGGTGGCGGCGGCAACCAGCGGCTGGCCAGTCTGCGGCCAGCGGGCGGCCTGCATCCCGGCAGCTACCTGACTTGGACGCCTGGACACGGCGCCGGGAGAAGGATCCTGCAGGGCGGGAGCGGGCAGCATGGCGATGTGGGCCAATTGCCTTTCAATTTGGCCAATCTGCAGCTGCCAGTGCAGCGCTGTCCCACTCACGGAAGCCGCCCCTTTTCGCCGCTGTTAGCAGCAGACGACCGCTTAAGCCAAAGGCCATAAACGCTGCTAGGGACTGGCGAGGCTCTGGTGCTGGCTGTGAGGGTGGCTGCTATCAAGGAAATGGCCTGCTGCTGGCTCTTTCAGTCGGGCGGCGGCGCCAGCTGGGCGCTTCCGCCGCGGCTCGCCGCCAAGGTGTGCCTAGAGCTCGCTGTTTTGATGATCTCCAGCTGCTGGCTTAACCGTGGATCAGAGCACGCATGCCCGTCCACCAACACAATTCCCAGCTGGTGCTGCCGGGCTGGTCAGTGACGGGCTGGCTGCGCGCCGCCGCGTGGGTGGGCTTGCAGCCGGCGCCAGCAGGTGAAAGCAGCTGTGCCTCCAGAGGCCTTCTTGATGCACCCCACATGCTGACGGACCTGTACGAGGCCCTAGGTGCCAGGAAGCTGTACAACGACGGCACAGCACGGCGCAGCATGCCGTGGCAGTTGGGCTGCCCACTTGTAGGAGTTGCACCTGCTTGCCTGCTTGCCATCGCTGCATCACCTCGCCGCCATTACTTGGACTAGCAGCAGGTGAGCAGCCGGGCGGCGGCCCCACCTGTCGTTGTCTGTCTCGAGCTGCAGGCCTGCAATGCGCTCCGCTCTGCCTCCTAGGCCAGCCCCAATGCATTTGCAAAGCCGTCCCACGGCGGTTGCGCTTGCGCAGCACCCCTCCCGCGGGGTTTGGGCCGCAAGCATGAAACATGGCAGAGTGGTTGGTGGTTGCTCCCCGCGTGCCAGCACCCAGCCCTCTCCCTGACACCCCCGCGTGTTGCGCAGCAGCGTAATTGCGAGCATGATGCACGCTAAGGTCGTGGCGGTGCTGCTGCTGGTGGGCCTGGCGGTGGCTGGCGCCCAGTCGGAGCCGGAGCAGCCCACCGTGTTCGCAGCGCTCCAGGTCACCCCAGCGGTGTCCAAGTTCTGGGCTTCCCTGGCACAGGTGCGTAATCTGGCAAGACCAGGTGCAGCAGGCTGACGTGCTGCCCTGGGCCGCCCTTGCCGCCACCACCGCAAGCGCGCGGCAGCGGCCCCGCCACCCAAGCCTGCCTACATGCATCACCCAAGCCTGCCTAAGACCTCCCCGGCTCGCCCTGTTGCAGTTCCCTGACATCGCCGAGATGGTCGGCGACGACTTTGCCGGCACCGTGTTTGGCCCCACCAACAAGGCACGCCCCGCCGCCCAGCCCCCACTTCTCATGCCTCCTACCCTTCTTTGCATGCCTTCTCTGCGTGTGGGACCAAGAACCGGCGCCCTTTCCCTGCTGCTGTGCATCACACGCCCCGCCCCTGCCGCCGCTGCCTCCCGCGCAGGCCTGGGACGCCGCCGTGGAGGACCTGCGCGAGGCGGGCATCCCCTTGACCACCAACCGCTTGAAGGACATCATCGTGAGGCACCGCCTCCTGCCTGGCCTGCCGCCTCTTGCTCCTGGCTGGCTGCACTGCGTGCCGCGGGCCACAGCAGTGGTGCTGCGGAGGTAGCTGCCGGGACGGCCTGCTGGTCGGCGCCTTGGCACACCAGCCAGCCACGCCTGTGCCATCCACGGCGCACACCTTGAGCCCCCCCTGCCCTGCTGGCCTCCTCCCCTCCCCGCGGCGCAGCTGTACCACATCATTCCGGGCCCCCCCGCCCCCATCACCGGCCTCAACGACGACCAAATCTTCGTCTCCTCCCTGGGCGACAAGATTGTGACGGTGGGTGGGCTTGCTTGCTCGCTGAGCTTCCTGGCCGTCATGCCGGCGTGGAGCTTGCAGCGTGCACAGCCTGCCACCCGCAGCCCTGGGCTGGCATCCCTCTCCATGCTTGAGCCTCTCGCCGCCACCCTCGCCTCCGCTTGCCCTCCCGACCTCCCGACCTGCCTGTTCCCTCCATGCCCTGCCGCAGGCCCAGTACACCGACGGCAAGCTCACCCTGGAGGGCGTGGGCTCCGAGGCCGGCGTGGTCCAGCCCGACATCTTTGTGGGCGCCGCCCACTACAGCGGTGAGGGCCGGGCTGCCGCGCTGCCCTCACCCCACAGCATGCCCTCCCTGCCTGCCGCGTGCATCATGGCCAGCGCCGATGCATGGCGTGCCTGTGCATGAGCGGGTGGGGTGCAGCTCCGAGCCTCAGCATCTGTCGAAGCTGAGTGGTTCCGGCCGCCCTGCCTTTGCCCTGCCCTCACCCCTGGCCCCCACCTCCCCCCCCCACCCCGCCCGCAGTGGTGCACGTCATCGACGCTGTGCTGCTGCCCTTCAAGCTGCCCGGCGGCGACAAGCCCAAGGGCACCGTCAAGGCCACGGACCTGGTCAAGGGCGAGGTTGACACGGACAAGGTTGAGTCCAAGGACCTGGTCTCGGATGCGGCGACCGCCATCGGCAACGCCGCGCAGACCGTGTCGGGCGCCCTGGCCAACGCCAAGGACGCCGTCAGCACCGCCGTGGACCAGGCCAAGGAAACGGCGGCCGGCGTGGGCGGCAACGTGGCCGCGGGCGTCACGACTGGCGTGGAGGCCGCTCAGGGTGCCGTGGGCACCACCGGCGCTGTGGGCTCGGCGGTCGCCTGCCCGCTCAACCTCATGCCCGTGTGCGGCGCCAACGGCATGACCTATGACAACGAGTGCCTGGCTGAGGCGGCGGGCACGACCGTGGTGGCGGAGGGCCCCTGCACCGTGCCCATGGGCGAGAGCGGCCCCGACATGCCGGTCGGCATGGGCCCCACCGTCGCCCCCTCCCCCCTGCCTGCGCCCTCCCCCTTGCCGGCGCCCTCCCCCTCGCCGGCGCCCACCCCCGCGGCCCAGCTGGTGCCCCCCAGCGCCGCCACCAGCACCCTGGCCAGCGTGGCGGCCCTGGCCGCCGGCCTGCTGGCGGCCGCCCTGCTGATGTGAGCGCTGGAGCCCTTGCCCTGAACCCAGCCCGCTGAGCGCTCTCTGGTGTTGTGAGATACACTTTCTACAGTGTTGTGTAAGCGCCAGTCGCTAATTCGGCGTCAGTCAGGGGCATTGGACGGCGCGCAGGGCGGGACAGCTGGCCACAGGTAGTGTCCTGCCGGAAGTACAGCAGGCTCTGGACTGAAGCTCTGCCACACCCCACGTGATCTCCCTACCAAGCATCACATTAACATAGAAACTGAATCACCTGTGCTGCCGGATCCCCCGTGCCAAATTGACATTGATTGCCGGCGTTCCTTCGCTGCGCAGAACCAGGGGATCGCAGCGCTGCGCTGGCAGGCTCCTGCCGACGGCAGCCGGTCGATAGGGGGCCGCCGCCATGAGCCCCGCCGCCGCCCCGCTGCACGGCGCGCTTCACCTTCTGGACCTGCCCGAGGATGTGCTGGCTGCCATGGCAGCACGCCTGCCCTTCTCCCAGCGCCTGTGCCTGTCGCTGGTGGGCCGCAAGCTGCGGCACACCAGCGACGAACCCTAAACGACGAAAAACCCTAAACCCTAAAAAACCCTAAACCCTAACCCTAAATCTGGCTGTGCGGCGGGCCCAGCCAGATGTGGCGGCAGGTGGAGGCTGTGGCCAAAGCATACCCGCACTACGCACCCAAGGCAGAGCGATCCGTGGCAGCCACCGCCTTACTGCAGCAATTCGCCAGGTTGGTATTGCGCGCAGGCCCTGAGCATGCACCCCCGCGCAGCCCGTCGCTGGCCCGCAGCAGGCATCACCTTGCCTCAACCTGGGCGGCCGCTGCTACAGGTGGCTGGCACCGAGGGCGGCGGCGGTGGAGGAGCTGTGCTTTGCGGTGGCGACCCCAGAGCCAGTCGACCCGCAGCACTACTGCTCCCTCCCGGTGCCGTCCCTGCTGCTGTCGCTGTGCGAGGTGGAGGCCGGCGGGCCCGCGCTGCGCAAGCTGGCCAAGCTGTCTGTTGAGTGGCCCGAGGCGGTGGAGCTTGATGAGGCCCTGATGGCGGCGCGGCCGGCCTTCCGGGGCCTGCGCAAGCTGGCCTTCCCTGCCGTGGGCCGCCTGGAGGTGTGGTCCCGCCTGCCCCTGCCCAGCCTCACCGACTTCTCCCTGGCCGACGGCACCCTGGCTGGCATGGCATCCACCCCAGAGGCCCGCCACGCCATCCTGGCGGCACCCTGGCTGCCGCCCACCCTGACCCAGCTGTACCTGGAGAGCGCGGGGCTGCGCGCGCTGCCGGCCGTGCTGGACCACCTGCCGCGCCTGCGCAGGCGAGCTGCCCGCAGCCGCCGCCGCCCGCTGCCTAGAGATGCTTCCCAGCCGGCTAGGGCTGCGCTCATCTAGGGCTCCTCATCCTGCATGTGCATGCTCCGGCCGCTCTGCCTGCCACTCCACTGCCTGCCTCCACACTATACACGACTCCACTACCGCCCAGGCTCATCCGCCCGCCCTGCCTGCTGCTGCGCAGCCTGGTGGTGAGCCGCAACCGGCTGACTCATGCCAGCCTGGACCCGCTGGCACAGCTGGGGCCCAGCCTAGAGGAGCTCAACATCTCGGAAAGCTTCCTTTCCACCTTCCCCTCCCAGGTGCCCCTCCGCCTCCCCCCCGCTGCAGCGCCTGCCTCCCGCCCCTGCCCCTGCTTGCGCCTCTGCCCGCGCATCGCCATGAGCGTGCCCGCCTGGCTGGCAGGCAGCCCGCGCGCCCGACTGAACCTCCGCGGCCCGTCCCGCCTGCCGCGTCGCCGCCGCCCACACACCGCCGCCGCCGCGTGCAGCTGTCGGCGCTCACCCGCCTGCGCATCCTCTACCTCCACAACGCCTTCAATCGCCATGTGCGCATCCAGCCCGGCGACTGGCAAGCCCTGGCCCCGCTCACCCGCCTCGCCTTCCTGTCCATCTCGGGCAACCGCCTGGCGGCGCTGCCGCCCTGCGTGGCAGCCATGTCGCAGCTGCAGGTGCGCCGGGGCCTGCCCGCGCCTGCTAGCCCACCCGCCTGCCTTGCGGCTGCTAGTACCGTGCGGGCTGCGCAGCTGCCCTCGCTGCCTGCCCAGACCGTCCGCGCGGCCAGCCTGTGCCCGCGCCGCGCGCCTTTGCCGCGCGTTGCCGCTCCACACGCCTGCCTCGCTCCGCCGCCTGCCCGGTGCGCCACCCGCCCGCCTCCCTGCTGCAGGCGCTGCATGTGGAGGAGAATGAGCTGGAGGCGGGGCTGCCGCTGGGCCCCATGCTTTCCAGCCTGCGCGAGCTGCTCCTGGACTGGCAGGCAGCACTGGACAGCCCCGCAGCCCTGCGCGCCGCCACCCGCCTCTCCCGCCTGGCGCTGTCGTGCCACCGCGCCGTGGACGAGGGGCCTGGCCCAGGGCTGACCGTGAGGCCCGCCGAGGCAGCTGAGCCGCTGCTGGCGGCGTTGGCGTCCATGCCTGCGCTGCGGTGTGTGGACGACGTTTTTGGTGCGCCGGCCAAGCCGCTGCCTGCTCCCTCTGCTGTACCTGCCTGTGGTGCGGGTTTGAGGGGTGGGGTGCCGTCGATTGGTTTGCATTGGGGCTTTGTCGATGAGCACGCATTTGAGGGGTGGGAGCTCATCGGCTGGGCGCATGTCGGTGGGTGTGCAGGGGAGGAGGACACCGTGACGGCCCCCGTGGCGCGCGTCATGTGGCAGCTGGGGAGGCGCTGCCCGCGCGTGGAGCTGCGCACGCTGTCCACCACAGACATCGGCTGGGGGATGGCGGAGCTGGAGCGGCGGGCGGCGGCGGGGGACTGAGGGATGCGTGTTGCGGGTGGATGTGCGCCCGCATGTTGTGTAGAAGAAAAGGTTGCATCTGGTACCCTTGTTTCAGCCGCCAACAGTAAAGTGAAACTTAGAGGCCGTCTTTGAGGGAGCAAACTGAGCGGCGGCGGGGGCAGCGGTGACGTGGCGGTGACCTTGCGCTGGCTGCTGCTGCACGCTGTGGAGGGGGGTCGGCATGCAATACGTGCTGGGCTGGAATGCTGCAGACATGGGCCATCCAGTGCCGCCCGTTTGCGAGCACACCGTGCCCAGCATGAGACCCTGGGGCGGCCGCGTTTAATTTGACAGCCTGCACCCGCCCCACCCCCATTCCTCCTCAAGACGGGTCCTGGTTGGTGTTGAGGCTAGGCTGCAGGTGAGCGGCGGACCGGGCAGCAAGGCGCAAACGGTTGGGCCCAACTGATCGCGGGCTGACGCACCCAAACCAGTTCAAGGCAGAGACCCCCAAGCCCGCGGCAGCCCAACTGCAATGCCAGCGCCATGGGGCGGTCGGGGCTGCAGCAGCTGCGCCGGCCTGCAACACCCTGGTGGTTTGAAGCCGCGCCCCCACGCCCCCTGCCGCTCCCCACGCGCTGCTGCAGCATCACAATGAAGTGCATTGCTCTGCTGCTGCTGGTGGGCGTGGCTGGCGCCGCCGCCCAGGGCACCACCAAGCAGACCCTCATCGAGGCTGTCAAGAACAACCCCAAGCTGTCCATGCTTGCTAGCTCCATTGAGTCGGTGCGTGCGGTAACCGCGGGTTGGCCGGGCGATGTGGCGGCGGCAGGCGTGCCCGGCACACCCAGCTGTCGGGCGCTGCTGCCCACAGAGGCTGCCGCCGCCGCCAACTGCGGGCTTTGCTGCCCCGCGTACTGTCCGCCTACAGCTCTTGCACCTGTGCTGCCCCGTGCGCTGCAGTCCCCCGAAATCGTGGAGGCTCTGGGTGACTTCAGCGGCACGGTGTTTGCCCCCAACGACGACGTGGGTGCTGCCGCCGCCGGCCACCCCACCACACCGTGCCTGCCAGGCCACATGCGCTGTACAGCCAGGCCCCGCTGCCATGACTAGCCCAGCCGCCCAGCCCTATGCCTGGCACCTGTGGGCCGCACTCCGCCCGCCCGCCTCCATCTGCCTCCCCGCTGTGTTCTGCAGGCGTTCAAGGCTGCCCTGGCCGCCGCCACCGAGCTCGGCATCGCCTCCACCGTGATGGAGAAGCTGCCCTACATCCTGGTGGGTGGCTGGCACAGCCTGGCTGCGCATGCAAGCCAGCCCGGAACCGCAGTACCCTCGCCGCCGTGGGCCACAGCCTTTATTTTTGTCCCTTGTTTTTGCTCCTGCCCACCTACATATTCCTCAGTTCCCCATCTCATGGTACCTGCTGTACCACCTGCAGCGGTACCACCTGGTCCCCGGCACCCCCGTCTTCTCCGGCGACCTGGCGGACGGCGAGAAGCTGGTCACCGCCGACAACGGCAAGGAGCTGACGGTGCGCGATGCACCACCTGCCATGCACCATCGCCAATTCACCGCCTTGCGCCTGCGCGCCCGCTGGGCTCCAGCCGCAAGCCCCTCCACGCGCTGCCCGCACCCTGCACCGGTTCCTGCTTCCTGCCCCCAGGGGGCCGGCCCTGTGCCTGCCGGCGGCACGCCTGCTACTGCTTGTCGCGCGTGCGGCGCCGCCGCCCCTCTCTTCCCCTCCCTCAACCACGCACCTCCCTCCCATGCCCCCGCAGGTTGCGTTTGAGGACGGCAAGGCCATCATCAAGGCCATTGGCTCCGAGGCCGGCATCCTCACCCCCGACATCAAGATTGGCGACGACGGTGAGCGGGCACTGCTGCGGCGGTGGCGCGCGCTGGCTTGCTGGCCGGGGCATGGCTGGCTGTCCCGCTCGTCCCACTGCCTTCCCCACCGACCCCTTTGCTGCCGCTCCTCCCGCATGCGCCTCCCCCGCAGTGGCCGTCCACATCATCGACACCGTGCTGCTGCCCATGCTGCTGCCCACCGGCGCGCCCGCCCCCGTGCCCGCCCCCGAGGCCGCCCCCGGCCCCGTGCCTGCCCCCACCAACACCATGCGCGCCATTTACGACTCGGTGGTGGATGCCGCCAAGGCGGAGGGCCTCGACAACCTGCTGGCCGCACTGGAGGCAAGCGCGGGCCGCCTCGCCGTGACGCAGCCGGGCCTGGCTGCCGGTGCCTGTCTTGCCAGAGAAATCTGCCCTGGCATGGTGCGGCAGCCACTTGCTGTGTGGCCCCACCAGGTGTGCTTACAACTCGTCTGCTGGCCTGGCCCACCTCCTCTCCTGGCTGCAGGCTTCTGACCTGGCGGGCGCGTTCGGCCCCGAGTTCAACGGCACTGTGTTTGCGCCCACCAACGCCGTGAGTGGCGGCCGCCAGCCCCAGCCAGCACGGCCCCTCGCCCTCACCTGCCAGCCTGCCTGCCGCAGCACGAGGCTGCCCCCTGTGCTGCTGCGCACAGGCAGTGCTAGGCTGCGCTGTGGCCCACGCAGCGTTGCAACCCCACGTGCTGCACCCCCCCTCGCCGCCGCCATCAGCTGCCCTGCTGAGCCCTTCCCCCCGCCGCCGCCTGCAGGCCCTGGAGACCTTCCTGGATGAGGCCTCCATCGACCTGGATGCCATGACCGAGGAGCAGCTGCAGGCGCTCACCGACATCCTGGTGCGCCGCCTGCCCTGGCCCTCACAACCCCACATGGGCACGCGCCGCAGGCCTGCACGCCTGCTTGCACAGTGCAGCCTGGGCCGGCATGTGCCCCCACGGCTGTTGCGCCCCGGCGCGGAGTCGGTCCCGCCTCGCCTGCACAGCCCCCGACACATACCCACCTGCTGCCTGCAGACCTACCACGTCGTCCCCAGCGTGGCCGCCACCTCGGCCGACCTCACCAACAACCAGATCCTGGAGACCCTCAACGGCGTGCCCATCACGGTGAGCCAGGGGCCCGCCTCTTTGCGACTTTTGCTACCGGCTCTTGTGGTGGGCGGGTGCTGTGTAGTGCACAGCTGCCGCCTGAGGGCGCCTGTGGGAATGCCGAATGCCAGCGCGTGGGCAGCAAGCAAGCTGGTAGCCGGAGCGGCGTAATGCTGGGGGTCACGCATGGTCCCGCATCGCTGAGGCGCGCCTGCCCGCCGCCCCCGCCCGCTGCCAGGTGCTGGTGCGCCCCAAGGGCGTGGTGATTGAGGATGCCGCGGGCAACAAGTACGACGTCACCGTCGCCAACATCATCGCTGGCGACGCCGTGGTGCACGTGATTGACGGCGTGCTGGTCCCGGTGGCCTCCGCCCCGGCCCCCGCCCCGGTGCCCTCTGGCGCCGCCACCACCCTTGCCAGCATTGCCGCCATGGCCGCCAGCCTGGTGGCTGCTGCGCTGATGATGTGAGGGCCTGCGGCCCTGACCGTCACCGCAGCGGCAGCGTTGAGCGGCGCGGCCCCGCCTGGCGGCGCCATCTGTGGCCAGGCGGGGCGACGCAGCGCATGGCAGAATTCATTCTTTCTTCATTCCTAAATGCGCGCCCATCTGTGCGCACGTTGACAGCAGCAGGCAGCTAGGTAGGTCAGCCTCTTCTTCTGTCAACCCGTAGACTCCTGTCCCTTCGTAGAACTCTCACACTCCTCTCTCTCGCCTCACCTACTACCGCCGATCCCTCTCTAGTATTAGCGAGCAGCGCCGTTAGCCAGATGCGTGTGCAGCCAGCGAGCCAGCGACAGCCACCAGACTGTAACACGTCTGCACACGCGTCGCCTCCACGCTAGCAAGGACCAGGTGGTGGGTTACAGAGCAAGGCCGGAAGGTGGTTGGGTGCTGGGTGGCAGAGCAGGCGTGCAGGGTAGAGCGCGGGGCCGGGCGCAAGGCGGTAGAGGAAAAATAGGTGGGACAGAGCGGGGCAAAAAGACCAGCAAGCGTGGGTTGGGAGGCAGAGGGGCGCCGCCGTGCTGGCTAGAGCGCCACTGCGCCGCTGGAAACGGGGTTGAGGAGGCGCCGCATGTGGGCCGCCCGCCGCGCCGCCGCCACCGAGAGGCCGGCGTAGGCAGAGTACCACAGGGCAAAGAGGGTGGTCACCTCTGCCAGCTCAGCGCAGTGGGGCTTGTCGTCGGATGTGGAACACCTGCGGGGGACGCAACAGGGGTGGCAGGTGGTGAGCGCCTCCCTCGCCTGCGTGGGCTGCTCCCGGCGGCTATCAGAGGCACGGCAGCACGCAGCAGCAGGCAGGCAGCGCCGCGCAGCTGGCTGGCTGCGGCAGGAGCCTGTAGCAGGAGCCACATGCACCAGCAGGCGCAGGCGGGCAGGCGGGCTGCATGCGGCTCACGCGGCAGACAGGCCCAACGCTATGAGCGCTGAGGTCCCTGCCACGACGCCGGTCAGGCAGGCGGCTGCGATGGCCAGGCGCAAAATCTTGTTGATGGCGTCGGCCAGGGTGAGGGCGGCGCGCAGGCGGGCAAAACGGTGCGCTGCGGCACCCACGGTGCCGCACAGCGCGCCGACGGTGCCCAGCAGGTTGAGCGTCAGCAGCGCTAGGGCCAGCGTCGCCGCGGAGCAGCCCAGCCAGAGCGAGAAGAGCAGCGTGCTGCGCTCCCACTCCTCCCCCGCAGACGGCAGCTCGGCTAGATACTGCGGGAAGGGCGGCAGCTGCTCCAGCCGCGACCCGCCCAGCGCCTGGTGCGCGAGCGGCGGGAAGGCGGGCACGCCGCGCGCCGGCGGCGGCGCGCCGTGCTGCTGCTGCTGCTGCTGCTGCTGCTGCGAGGCGCTGGGCGCCGCGGTCTGCGTGATGGTGGGTCCTGGAGCCGGCACCGAGGGCGGCAGCAGGGGCTCTGCAGCAGGGGTGGGCACAGGCGTCTAGAAGGCGAGACCGGGTGAGCGGCGGCAGAAGGAGGCGGCGGGCGGTGGAGCTGGGCGGTGCGCTGACCAAGCTGACCTTCCCCCAGCTCCTCGTAGCCGTCTGGCCTTGACATTTGGGTGTGTGGGGGTAAGCAAGAGCGCAAACTCCTCGCGGACAGTGATCTGTCGGAGCCCGTTCTCCTCCCGTTCTCCTATCGCCCTGCTGCAACCCCTCCGCGATAGAAACTGTCCAGCTGGAGCAAAAGGGACAAGGTTCCTCGTCCCTTTTGCGACGAAAGTACATGTCTCAGGCACGACCTTGCCTTTTACTCTTCCTGCCACATCCGCTCGCAGCTTGATTCCCGCCCAGCCCCACGAGCCCCTGCGGTTCAAGCAGACGTTCTCTTGGGGCATGCGCCGTTGCTAACCTCTCCCTGGCAGCCCGATCATACTGAAACAGCGTTGTCATTGAGCCAGCCAGCAGTCAACAGCAGCATCCTTGCCGCGGTGCCATGGAGTGGGAACTCTGCGAGGGCGCCGCTGGCGCCCTGCGGCTTGGCGCTAAGGCAGGCATGTGGCCATCAACAGGTGGGTTTTGCAGAAACTGGCGGCTGCATGCTGCTCTCAACAACCGGCGGCTGCCCTTGCACGTGCCTGTTCTTCCAGCCCGCGCAGCGACTCCACCAGCGCCCAGCACAGGCCTGCAGCAACCCCAGGGAGCGATGCAGATAACAAGCCACTACCCCCGCGCCGCCCCGCCCCGCCCCTGCAGGCCCGCACCGCCGCCCAAAAGCTGTCTGCGCCAGCATCGTCGCCAATACCTCGCATTTTGTGCTGCCGGCGGCGGCTGCAGCCGCGGGGCCCGCCCCGCTGTCCATGCTGGCACAGGACGCCCACCCCGGCCTGCTCATGGCCGCCGCCGCCGCACGCACGCTCCTAGCACCGCCCCGCCGCGGTCGCGGCACGCAGCGGCGCCGCCGCGCCACGCCCGCGCCCACGGCCACACACACGGCCACGGCGGCCGCGGCCGCGGCGGCGCAGCCCGCGCGCGCCGCCGCGCAGCAGCAGCAGGTCCGCGCAGCGCAGCAGTTCCTGGCGGGCGGCGTGGCGGGGGCGGTCAGCAAGACGCTGGTGGCGCCCATGGAGCGAGTCTCCACCCTCCTCATGACGCCCACCGCCCACCAGCGGTTCAGCGTGGCGCAGGTGCGTGCGCAGCCCACAGCCCTGCGAGCCGCCTGGCCCCGTGCTGTCGCTTTCGTTTGTGCCGCAGTGGTGCCGCTGTGGTGCCGCTATTTTCTGATTCCTTTGCTGGAGCCACAGCGGTGCCCAGGCCACTCCTCTGCCCGTCTGAATGGGATACGCTTGGGCCATGCACCTGTGCAGGCTGCGCAGCACGCGTGGCGGGACGGCGGGCTGGGCGGGCTGTACCGCGGCCACGCCGCCACCCTCATCAAGATCTTCCCCGCTTCGGCCATCCAGTTTGCCGTCTTCAACGGCCTCAAGGACAGGATCCTGGCGGCACGGCAGCGGCGCCAGGGGCAAGCCGCCGCCGCGGCAGCAGCAGCAGCAGCCTCCACCACCTCCCAGCAGCAGCAGCCCCAGGACCTAGCCAACCACGAGCGACTGGCTGCGGGCGCGGCCGCGGGCGCCGCCGCCGCCTGCTGCTGCTACCCGCTTGAGTCGACGCGCACCGCCATGTCGTGCGCGGGCGGCGTGCGGGGCAGCCTGGTGCAGGTGGCGCGCGCCGTGGTCGCCTCCCACGGCCTGCCGGGCCTGTACCGCGGCTTCCGAGCCTCCCTGCTGGGAGATGTGCTGGGGAATGCCCTGGGCTTTACTGCCTACGAGGTTGGTGCACCTAGAGGGTGCCGCAGTGGCGGGGTGCATGTGCGTTAGCATGTGCGCTAGCATGTGTGTTGGCATGTGTGTTAGCGCATGTGTGTTTACTCGCCCTGCTATGGTCGCCCGCGTGGGCAGGGCGCAGGTGCGGGTGCAAAGGGAGGCGCGCCCGTCCTGCCCCCGCTCCCCACCCGCGCCAACATCACACTCGCTGCCGCTCCCTCTGCCGCCCTGCCGCAGGTGGGCAACCGCCTGTACCGCGACCTCAGTGGCGGCGTGCCCGCGCCGCCGCACGTGCGCGGCCTCATCGGCGCCTGCTCCGCCGCCTGCGTGCTGACGCTGACGATGCCGCTGGAGGTGGTGCGACGCCGCCTGCAGGTCCAGGTGAGGGATGGGAGGGGGCAGGTGGGGGCGGGCAGGATGGATGCCGCGTGAGCGGCAGGCATGCGCTGGGCTGATCAACCCTGGCCACAGCAGGGAGGCCAGAGATGGGCAGGGTGGACTCCCAAACCCGACCACTCACCGGCTGAGCCTCTACCTTTCCTCGTCCTCTCGCCCCTGCAGGGCCTGGCGGGACGGCCGGTGCTGTACCGCGGCACGCTCGACTGCCTGCGCCAGGTGCTGCGCAAGGAGGGGGTGGCCGGCTTCTATGCGGCTTCCATCCCCAGCTACCTCAAGGTGCGGCGGCGCTGCTGTACCGCTCGCCGTCCTGGCGGGGCCCGCACTGCGTGCTGAGTGCAGCTGTCCAGCATGCAAGCAGCCGTGCAGCGGGGGGCGGGGCCTGCGCCCTTGCTGTGCCGGCCCCACCAGCAAGGCAACTGTCATGAGCCGACTTTCCCATCCTCCCTCTTCCTTTTCTGCAGGTCGCGCCCAGCATCGGCTGCATGTACTTCTGCTTCGAGCTCATCATGAGCCTGATGCCGCCGCCCGCCGCCGCGGGCCCAGCCCCTGCGCAGCCCGCCGCCGCCGCCGCCGGCAAGTAGCACACAGCGGGCGCTGGCGCCCGCAGCCTTTTGCCAAACTCGTTGCGCTCTATCCCTTGCTATTCGTTCCGTTCCCACGCATACCGCACACACATTCTGTGTGCCCACGCTGCTATTGCCTCTCTTCCATATACACTTGCCCCCTGTGCCACCCCCCACTTGCTCTCGTCACTTGCCCAGCATTTTTTTGCCCGTCAACAACACAGCGTGTACTGCCTGCATCTCTCTCCCCTGCACTCTGCTGCATGCCTCGGAATGACTACAGCGTCGCCGCCTCTCGGAGCCCTTTTGCCCAGATATAGATATAGATAAGTCACGTCCCGAGCAGCCCCCACTTTTGTGCCGGCGGGCTCCAGTTCCGCCAGCGCCTACCCACCATGCCGCTGCTCGCAGGCAATGCTGCTGATAATGCCATGTGCCGCTGCCTTATCACTGATCTCCCCTCCTCCCTCCTTTTGCACCGACTCCCCTTTTGCGCCGACTGCCAGCTCTTGCGTCGTGCAAACAAAATGTGTAAAACAGAATAGCAATGCAGACAGTGAATGGTACAGCAGTGTAGTCGTGTCTAAGCATTCCTGCAGCAGGCAATACAGGTGTGACTGCTAGACGTCCAGCGCGTCGCTGTCGGCCGCCTTTGGCGAGCCGCCCCTCGTTGCCGCTGTCTTGTTGCCGCCGCCGCTGCCGTGCACCATGCCAAGCATCTGCTCTAACAGCTGCACCGGGGAGGGGCAGGAGGCGAGGCTGCTGTCGCCTTGGGTCGGCCTGGTGTGCAGGAGTGGTGTGCAGGAGTGGTGTGCAGGTGAGCAGGCGAGCAGCGCAGCCATGCATTGCGCGCCGCCAGCCACGCGGCCAGCCGGCGACGAAAGTGGGGAGGCGAGCGGGCACCTGCGCCGTGGCGCCGCCCCTCCACAGGTCCTCCACCGCCTCCCTGCCCCCGGGCAGCGGCTTGCCGCCGCTCTGGTGGGCCAGGAAGGTAGCCAGTGAGGGGCAGTAGGAGCCCAGCAGCTTGTGGTGGCTGATGCTGGCGCCCGAGGCGCGCTGCGCCGAGTGCTCCAGCCGGCTGGGCCGCACAAGCAGGTCGCCCGCGCCGCTCAGCAGCACGGGCTTGCCGGCGCGCTTGAACAGCACCAAAAACTTGGCCTGGTTGGCCACTGCGTGTGGGGCGCAGGGGGCGCAGGGGGCACGGGGTGGTGCATGTGCATGTGTGCGTGTGCACGCGTGCGTTTTCGTGTGTGTTTTCGTGTGTGTGCTCGCGTGGCAGGTGGCCGGCATGCACACCCCTCCACCACCCTGCCCGCCTGCCCGGCAAGCCACCACACCCACACCCCTCCACCACCCCGCCCGCCCTCTCACCCACGTCCTGCCCGTTGATGATGGACCAGCAGTCTGGCAGGGCGGCGTCGTATTCGCGGGCAAAGGCGTGGTTGCCGGTGCGCGGCGCCCCAAAGGTCACGGTCGTCAGGGAGACGGCCGGGAGCGCGGCGGCGGACGGCGGCGGCGCGGCGGGCGCCACGGCGGCGGCGGGGGCCAGCGCAAAGCCCCAGCCGGGTAGCGCCGCCGCAAGGTCCATGCCGCACAGCTGGCTCATGGCGCCGCCTGCGGGAGCCCGGCGGGAGGCGGGGCAGCGTTTGGCATGTGGCGGCGGTGGGGAGTGGGGCGGCGCTCGGCATGCGGCGGGCGGCAGGGTGAGGGCTTGCTGGTGGCAGGCAGGTGGCGGGCAGGCGTCCGGCCCGGGGTGCAGCAGGTCCCGTGGCAGCAGAACGGTCCTGCGGCAGCCGCCAACCAACGCAAACGGTCATCTCCCACACACCCAGAGAGTGTCCCGCCAAAAGGATGCGGAAGGGCGGCCCGGCAATCCTCATCCGCGCCGCGCCTCCGCCGGTCCCGCCGCCGGGCTGCTGCCGCTGCGCCGCCGCCGCCGCCTCCCTGGCCGCCGCCAAGTGGCCGTCCGGCGGCGGCTCGCATGTGCAGCAGCGGTCTGCTGTGCAGGCCAGGGGGTCCAGCTCGGTGTGCCGCCGCTCCTCCAGCACCTCCCGAATGCGTTGCAGCACCTGCGAGGAGCGGGCCGGGGCGGCGGCAGGCCGGCGCTGTGGCAGACACAGGGCTGGGCGAGCAGCGCTGCCGCCGGTTCTGCCTTTCACCGGTGCTCTAGTACCACCTTTACTACCGCCGGTACTGCCCACTGGGTATTGCCCACCGCCCCCACAACAGGGGCTCGCCTTGGCGTTGAATCCATCGCAGACCCAGCTCTTCAGGAAGCCGAGGTGCACCAGCGGGCGGCTGCCCAGCAGCAGGCTGCCAAGCCTGGGCGGGTGCGCGATTCGCCAGGCCTGCAGGGCGGGTAAAGGCGGTGGGCGGCGGTCTCCGGTGGGCGAGCGCTGCAGCCCCCCGGCCTGCATCCCCAGCCAGCGGCAGCCGCGGCCAGCTGTGCGCAGCTATCCATCTGCCCGATCCCGCCACAGCAAGGCGGCGCCAACGCAGTGTTTTAGCGTGGGCATGGGCCCTGGCTTGCCTTCAGGTCCGCCCTGATGTTTCTCAGGGACTGGGTGCCCCTGAACGTCACCACCAGGGTGTCAGGGCCCCAGGCCAGCAGGCAGTTCGAGTCGTGGGCGGGCTCCCGCAGCCACTCGTAGTGCTGAAGGCGGTACAGGCGCAGCGCGCCCGCCAGCGACGTCACGTGGCTGTTGGGCTGCGGCGGGCACCGAGACATAAACACAATCGTCAATCAGCATAAAGAGGGAAGTGGGCGCCGGAGGCAGCCGGAACAGCAGGGGGCGGGCAGGCCTCAGCGGGGCAGGCGGGCGGGCACACGCTATCTGCCGCTGTCGGCGGGCAAGCAGCTGCAGCAGGTGTCGCAACACGGGCGGAGGGAGGGCGGTCCCACGGCCGTAGCTTCCGGCTGGGGCGCAGGCCAGGCACTCCGCTGGGTCCAACAGCTCACGCACCACCGCCACCGACGCCGGTACCAGTACCGCCGCCGGTACCGCCAGCTCACGTTGAAGTGCCGGTACACGTGCAGGGAGAAGTAGGCGGCTTTGAGGGTGGTCTCCAGGCAGAAGCAGGGCTCTTCTGGCAGCCCCCGCCGCTCCAGCAGGCCAGGCAGCTGCGCCTCCGTCCTACGCAATGCCAGGCAGGCAGGCAGGTGGGCGGGTGGGCAGGTGGGCAAGCAGGCAGGTGGTGCCGGGCGCAGGCGCTGGCGCAGGTGCAGCGCCTCTGCCTGGCAGCCCCCGGTGGCTGGCGCCTCCGGGAGCGCTGCAGCCACTCGCCGCGGCCCCTGGCTGCGGCTGGCCAACCCTGGCTGCACCGGGCCGGCTGCCCGGCAGCCGCCGCGGGCGTGCGGGCACCGCGGCCCGGCAGCGCCCGGCAGCGCAGCCCCCGCCCCAGCGCGCAGCGCCCGGCGGCGACACCGCCGCCCACCAGGCAAACTGCTGCAGCTGGTGGTGCAGCTTGGCGGTGGCGGCGTTGGGGGCGCTGGGCATGAACAGCAGGCTCTCCACCACCACTGTCCCCGTCATTGCCACCTGCGCAGGGAGGGCGGGAGGGCCCCACCCTCAACCACGGGGGGGCCAGGCGCCGGGCACTGTAGCGGCGTGCAGCGCCGCAGGCACGTGCAGCGGCGCTCCGCAAGCGGCAAGCGCACAGCGGCGGCCCGCTCTGGACGCGCAGGCGCAGGCGCAGGCGCAGGCGCAGGCGCAGGCGCCGCGGTGCGCAGGCGCCTCACGTGCATGGGGCCAAAGCCCAGCCAGATGAGCACCGTCGAGTTGCAGTCGTTGCTGCGGATGTAGAACATGAGCGCCAGGGACAGCACGAAGGTGAGGTAGGTGAGCAGGCGCGTCTTCAGCGCCAGCCGCAGCGCCAGGTTCTGCGGGCGCCGCGAGGGGGCGGGAGGGGGCGGCGGCAGAGCTGGGGTGAGGAGCGGCGGGGCGGGGTGGCGGGGAGCGGGGAACGGCGGGCGCGGGTGGCGGCGGCGGGTCGGTTACAAGGCGCCTGCCCGCCTGGGGAAAGGCCCAGGCAGGCCTCCACCCGCATCATCACATCACGCCACCCACACCACCACCCTCACCCTCACCTGATTCAGCACACCAGGAAGGGCAGGCTGGGGCTGCCATGTGCCCGACCCACATCCCACACCCCCACACCCGCCCCACGACACATCACCATCACCCACCACCAACACACCAGCCACCCATGCCCTCGCCTGCACTCGGTAGTCGCGGTACGGGCGGGCGGCCAGCTGGTGGAAAGCGAGCCAGGTGAAGGCGAGGAAGGCGAGGGCAGATGTGAGGAGCAGGGCGCCCAGCGCCCAGGTCAGGCCCTGCATGGATCCAGCCAGCTGGCAGCTCCAGGCCTGCACGCCAGCGGGGCCCGGGCAGGTCTTGCACAGGCGGGTGGGTGTGTGGCGCGCCAGCCAGCCAGCCAGCCCGCGGGCAGCACAGCAGGTGGCAATAGATCCCTGGCACCGATGCAGCAGGCCTTCCCCAAGCACACAAGCTTGCCACACACCCCTCGCAAGACCCCAAGCAGCGCTGTGTTGAGAGGCTGTGGGCAGGCTGGCGGCCACGCCAGGTGGCACTGGCAGGCGGGTGCAGCCGGGGCAAGCTAGGGCAGCGGCTGGGCGGCTGGGCGGCGCAGCACACACACCCATTGGGTGCATGGGGTGGTGGGGGGAGCGCACTGAGGGTCCCCTGGGGTGCCGCAAGTGCTGCCATCCCAGTGTTCTGCGCAGCAGCAAGCGAGCGGCCGCGCGCGCGGGCGGCACGGTCGGCGGCTGGTGCAGGGGGACAGCAGGCGAGCAGCAAACGTGGCCGCACGGCCGCTCCCCCCCCCCCCCCCCACCCACCAACACACACACACACACGCCCACAGCTGGATTGAAAGGGAAACAAATGGAGGCAGCTGAGGCGCCCACTCACCGCCGTGCAGCCTGGCCGTGCGCACCGTCAGCGCCACGATGACCGCCTGCGTGGGCAGCCACAGCAGCAGCACCACCGCGGCCAGCACCCCGAAGCGGATGCGCCGCTCCAGGGCCTCCAGGCGGGCCGCCGCGCCGGCCAGGGCCTGCGTGGGCAGCGCCTCGCACACTGCTCCCACCCCCTTCTCCAGGTGCGTCACCTCGGGGAGGCTGGCCAGCACCTGCCCCGCCGCACCCACCACATGTGCAGCACAGGCGGCGCCGGTACCGCCCAGGTCGTCCCCCCACTCCTCTGGCACCGGAGCGGGATCCTGCTGCTGCTGCTACTGCTGCTGCTGTGGGCTTTGGTGAGGTCGCTCGCCGCAGCGTCCCCGCCAGAAGGTCTCGGACAGGGCCTGCCAGGCGCCCGTGGGCAGGATGAGGGAGGCCTGGAAGACGGCCAGCACCAGCAGGGCGTTCCAGCAGCTCCACTGCAGCCCCGCCATGATGTCGACTGCGGCAGGGGGCGGCGTGGCGCGGCGTGGCTCAGCGTGCGCAGCGCGGCTCAGTGGCGCGCAGCAAAGGGGACACGGCGGCAGGGCATGGATGCGCGCAGCAGGTGCAAAGTGGAGGGGGCGGGCACGGACGCGCGGAGCCCGGCAGCGCCGATCGGCAGCAGAGCAGCAGCTGGTCCCGCCGCCGCCATCCCTGCGCCTCGCTCACTTGGGATGTGAAACCAGGAGCAGGGGCGGGTCCAGGACAGCAGCATGTTGGTCAGCCAGAAGCTGAGGCTGACCATCTCCAGCAGCAGGGGCAGGGTGGCAAAGGCCACCGCCTTTTTGCGCAGCGGCGACCAGCGCAGGCGGCGGGCGCGCAGCACGTTCCTGCCCAGCACGCCCAGCGTCAGAAGGGACGCAGCAAGGCAGGCCCCCGCAAACACGGAGGAGACGGCCTCCAAGTAATTGTTCTTCAAGAACCAGGCCTGGTCCTGCGTGCAAACACAACATAGACGGGCTGGGGCCAGCCGGCGGGCGGGGGACGCGGCGGCGGTGGCGGCGGGTGAAGAGGCAGCTACTTGTAATCGCTGCTCGCCGCCCCGCGGCGCCAACCGGCCCTGCCCGCTCTCCGCGCATGCTGGATGCACTGGGCACTCGCCTGGTTGAACTTGATCGTGGTCTCCAGGCAAGCAGGCCGATTGCGAGCGACACGGCCACGATGGGGCCCAGTACAACCAACTTGGCCTGCGCATCGCTGATGTACTCGATCCGCAGCAGCACCTTGCCGGAACCGGCGCCGCCCGCCGGAGCAGGGTTCGGCGCCGCGCCTCCCATGACCTGCCCTCAAGCTGCGGCGAAATTGGTGCTACCCCAACGTTGTGATGCCGAGGTGAGGCCGGCACGCAAGCCGACACACTTTCACCGCCTGCCACCCGCCAGGCGGGCACACCCCGCCAGCAGTGCTGCAACCGCCGTCCTCTCAAGATTCCCAACCCTCACATTGATGGGGCGGCTCAGATTGGTTCAATTGCAAGTGATCTGGCTTTAGGACTGCAGCAGAGTCGCCTCTCCACCGCCGCCGTCTCACTTGCCAGCTCACGCACGCCGCAGAAGTGATGGGACCCATGGGAGCTAGCCAGGACTGCCTCACCACAACATGCTTGCCCAGATCCGCCCTCCAGGCTCTCAGCGGTCCTGGTGGGGCACGGTGGTGTCATAGGGGTCTCGCTCGTCACCCACATCGCCCACACCCGCTGCAGAGAAGGTTGACAAGCCGGCATCGCTGGAACGCGCCAAGGCATCCGCTCAGTCCCAGCCCCTCATCGCAGAGTGGCGCGGTGTGTGCACCCGCAGCGGCAGCCAAGCGCAGCCGCCCGCCTGCAACAGCCCTCCTTGCCTGTGCCGGTGTGGACTGGGATTCGAGGGTCGCCCTGCTTCAGCGCCCCGGCAGCACCCCCAGCCCTCTGCCCAGCTTCGCCTGATGTCAGCAGCGGCTCACAGGGAGCCACCCGAGGGAGCGGAGTGAGTGCTCGGAAGGCACAGCGCACGTCCAAGGCATCCGCCGCCAAGGCCACCGCCGCCACCGCTGCATCGTGGCGCCCACAGACGCCCCACCTGCCTGGGCCTGGGCTAGTAGTGCAGGCGGAGGCCGGCGCTCGGCCCCCTCTTCCCTGGCGGCCTGTGAAGCAGTGTGCAGCTCAGTCTCGTTCATGGTTCGGTTCGATTGTTAAGCCTCGTGGAGTAGAAGAAAGCCTCGTTGAGGAGGGAATCTGCATAAGTTGGCGCCTAGCTGGCATTTGTTGCGCACATTCTTCAACCATGTCATTTAAGGCTGAAACATAGGCAGGGTATCAGGATTCGAGTTCAGGTGTGGGATTTAAGGTAAAATTCAGGTAGATGCGCCCATACTGGGCGGCGGCGGTAGGCTGAGGGCCGCATGGGTACGACGCGTGCGACAAAAACGGGCGTGCCTGCTGAAAATGGGCACCACACAACTGAAGGGAAGGCAACTCAAGAAAGTGTACAGAGAGGTGCGTGCCTGCCACACCACAGGAGCATGCGCCTAGCGCCGGCGCTGCTGCGGCTCCGCGAGCACCGGCTGCGGCTGTGGCTCCGTGCTCTGCTGCTCCGCCGCCGCCGGCTTCTCCGCGGTCGACAGCAGGCCAGCCGACATGAGCGTGGCGCCGCCGACCCACGTCAGCGGGCCCAGCTCCTCGCCGCCAAGCAGCAGCCAGGCGAGGCCGGCGGCCCACAGCGGCTTGGAGGAGAACACGACCGAGGCCTCGGCGGGGGTCACGTGCTTTTGTCCCTGCAGGGAGGCAGTGGAGGGGTGAGGCTCGTCAGCGTTGCGCCGTGGGCAGCAGCAGCAGCCAGAAGAGGCAGCCACATTCATGTATGCGGAGAACGGCACGGCAGCGACAGCAAACGCAGCAGCAACCAGCGCAGCAGCGTCAGCAGCAGCAGCCGACAGCAGCAGCGGTGCTTGCCCGGGCGTGCAGGTATGACGCGAGGGCTCCGGGGCCCAGTCCCGACCACAGCAGGGCGGCCCACATGAGCGGGTCCGACCCCACGCCGCCCCACAGCGACTGCGCGGGCAGGCCCTGCGCGGCGGCGCTGCCGGTGGCGGCGACCAGCGAGGCCAGGGCCAAGCCGCCCAGCACAAACGACTTGCTGGTGGCGATCTCAGAGGGAGACAGCGACTGGGCATAGCCCGTGATGCGCACCACTCCCAGCGAGTAGAAGAGGGCGGCCGCGAGGATGGCGCCGTCGCCGCCTGCAGGAAGGGCGGGCACCAGGGCCGGGGCGGGTGAGGATTGGGCAGGGGGTTGGGGCGGCGCGAGGTGGCTTGCTGCGGCCCTCCGAAGGGTATACAGGCGTAAGCAGTAGGTTGGGCGAAAGGCTGCCCACCGCAGGGCCAGGCCGGCCATGCATGAGACGCACCTAGCTGCAGGCCCGCCGCCCCCCAGCCGCTGGCCGCCGCGGTGGCCCCCGCCTCGTCGGCCGTCACCAGCAGCGTGCCGGCCAGCGCCAGGCCGCAGGCGCCCCACACGCGGGGCCCCGGCCGGTAGCCCGCCAGCGTGGAGAGCAGCGGCGTGAGCATGACGGTGGCTTGGATGAGGAAGGAGGCGCGTGTGGCGCTGGTGAGCTGCAAGCCCAGCGTCTGCGGCAGCGCACAGAGCGAGGGTGTGAACAGGATGCAAGGATGCGGCATGCGGACTGCTGCAACTCTCCACCCTCCACCCCTGCGGGCAACTCTCCCACCCAGTCCAACTCAAGCTGGCGGCGACCGGCAGGGAGAGTCTCACCTGCAGGCCGGTGGCTGTGAAGTTCCAGAGGCCCAGCTCCACCGCCGCCATCCACAGCGGCGGCGACTTGAGGGTGAGGAACTGCTGCAGCAGCCAGGCGGCGCCCTGCCGCTGTGGGTGCTCGCCTGCCGCGCCTTGCTGCTGCCATTCCTGCTGCTGCTGCTGCCGCTGCTGCCCCTGTGGGACCAGAACTGTGGACACGGCCAGCATGGCGGCGGCCTGCAGCATGCCGCGCACCGCCATCACCACCACCGCGTCCGGCGGCTCCGCTGCAGAGTAGAGCAGGCGCACGCTGACCGAGTAGCTGCCCCACAGCATGGCAGCCACTAGCAGCGCCAGCTTGGGGGACAGCCAGGGCTCCGGGGCTGCTACTGCTGCTGGTGCTGCTGCTGGTGCCGCCGGCGCCTGGCTGGCGGCCTCTAGTTGCTGCTCCAGGGGCGCCGCCGCGCCGGCCATCGACGCGCCGGCTGGCGGCGGCGGCGAGTCCTGATGCTCCTGCCACCGCTGCCTCGGTGGGCGCTGCCCGTCCTCCTGCTGCTGCCGGGGGCTGGCTACGGACACCGTGGGCGCCTCCTGGGCCGCTAGCCTCGAGAAGCCCCTGGCGCACGCAACCTGGGCACCGACGCTCCGACCGTGGCCAGGGCTCCGCCTGGCCCCACGATCGCGTCGGGAGCGGGGAGTGGGCAACCTGGGCGAGGCCAGGGCCCCTATTGCTGGTGCATGTGCGGACATGCTTGTCAGCGCCTTGGTGGGAGAGTTGGGAAACGAGCGAAAGGCTTGGGGATGGTCAGGAAATGAAGGTGTCGCCGCAATGCGAATGCTCAAGAAGCGTTGGCCACTTGTAGGCACATCCTCCGAGTGGTTCCAGCAGACACAGGGCGCGAGATACAAAACGTGAGTTCCTCCTAGGCGTAGATCGGGGGTATGTGCGAACGCCTGGTGATGAGGACCAGTGATTATTTACTGGATCCGCCGCCACAGCCCGCCCAGGCGCACACTCGCCGCCGCTGCCGCCGCTGCTGCCGCTGCCTGGGCGCCGCCGCCACTCAGCTGCCCCGTCGACAGAAGCCGCATTGCTGGCCACTCCAAAAGTGATGCTCGAGAGTTCCCATGCATCCAGGTCTCTCTTATATGAGGGTTTAATGCCCTCTTCTCCACCTGCTCCCGCAAGCATGGCCAGCCTGTGCCGCTCCCGCCGCTCCAATACCACACCCACCATGGCCAACCCTTCCGGGGGCCCCGCCGATCCCGCCACGTGGTGGATTACATCCAGCTGTGAGGCGGGTGGCACACGAGCTGTCCTGAGGAACCGGGACAGGGCCAGCTGGTGGCAGCCCGCGTCCCTCTGCGCAGAAGCATGAAACGGGGCTGCGGCCCTGTTGACCATCAAACATAGCTCAGCAATCCCCAAGCCCACCGTCGCTCCCTCCACCCACTCGCCGCCCGCCACCCGCCACCCGCCGCCATCATGCGCTGCCTCGGCCTCGTGCTCCTCCTCTGCGCCGCCGTGTCCGCCGTGTCTGCAGCGCGCCCCCAGCCCAGCGATGACTGCACCTACCGCGTCAACCTGCAGCGGTGAGGAGGGTGCTGGCATGCCTCTGACACGCTTGCCGTTAACGGAATGTTCCGCCGCCGCCGCCGCTGCTTGGGAGTCTTGGCCCCGCCGCCCCCCTCACTGCCGCCACTCCCCTCCCCTGCGCTGCCCGCCTCTGCAGGGGCTGGTACACCACCCATCCCGGCAACATGCGGCCCCTGCAGTGCCCTGCGGGCTTCAGGACGGCCGCCGCCGTTGATGTGGAGCTGCTGGAGGCGTTCCTGGTGAAGGAGTTTGAGACCAAGGCCTGGCCCAAGCTGGAGGACAGCGCCCGCTGGGGCTGCCCCGCCGGCATCAGGAGCCAGCGCTTCCGCGCCGTCAACGGCTGCATCCAGGTGTGCACCGCGCCGCAGCGCCTTGGATGGTGGCTTGGTGGGTGGGCCCGTGCCGGTGTGGCGCATGGGCCTCCGACCCCACCCCATCGTGGGCAAGGTGCTCACTCCCCGCCTCCCTGCTGTGCGTCTGCTTGCAGACCTGGCCCAAGGGCGTGGCCCCGACCGTGATGGCCCAGGGCAAGCTCACTTACGTCTGCCGCGGCGACCGCCGCCAGAAGACCCTCGGTGAGCGGGCGGCCTGCAGCAGCTGCTGACCAGCCTTGGCCCGCCGGCATGCCTCCCGGCAGCAAGCTGCTGCTGTGCTGGCTGGCGTTCTCACTGCCTTGCCGCACTCCCCGTGGTGCAGGCCTGGATGGTGAGGGCACCTTCAAGAAGATCTGTGTCTGAGCAAGAGCTCAAGCTGGGAGGACCGGCACCACAACTGCTCAGCTGGCAGCAGCTGCCGCATCGCACAAGCCCCACCCGTCAGCGTTGGTCTCGTGATAGGCATGAATGACCACCATGTGCACTAGAAGCCGGTCAACACACTGAACACTGGCAATTGCAACCTTTCCTTCAGCGATTCACTCCTTGATTCCTGTACTGAATGTCTGAATATTTATTCTGTTCCCTGTCGGTACTACTATCGCAATACCTGAATCACCTTGAGAAAGGCAGGACCAGGAGGGAGACAGAGGTTTGCCGCCATGCCCACCCTCTGCAAGCCATGCTCACACTCATCTGTGCCTCAGGCAGCAGTTACAGGCAGCCGCGAAACACAACACATCGGACGCAGGCCGCACCCGCTGCTCAGCACCCGGCCAATGCCATGAAATTCGGCACCGCGCTTCTCTCGTGCTCATATCTCTCATATGCCGGGCCGGCACACGGTCGCAGGCGTCGCCCCTCACAGCCCGTATGCCTCGGGCGGCGGCGGCAGCATCTGCCCGCCGCGCATGTCCATGAAGAAGACCAGGCCCAGATAGATCACCTGCACCACCCGCCACAGCAGCAGGCTGCCAGGTCAGTAGCCGGGTGACCGGAACGGGCAGACTCGCATCACGTCACGCAGCTGGACGTTGCTCACAGCGATGGTTGGCCACAGCCAACCTTCCCTGGCCAAGCCTCTGGCATACAGCGCTTGCACGCGCAGCAGCCTGTCAGCAGCCGTCTCACCCCGAATATGATTGAGATGGCGCCGGTGACGATGGCGGTGCGCTGCCCCTTGGCTACCGAGGGGTCCTCCACAGGTTGCCGCTTGGGCGCTTCTGGCGCCGCCGTGGGAGGGTTGCCGCCGCCGCCTGCCGCTGCCTCGCCCTGCTCGCCAGGCTGCTGCGGCGGCTGGTCCTCACCGCCTTCAGCCCGACACAGGAGCGTGCGCTGGTGGAGCTGCTGCAGGCGGTGGGAGGAGCGCGGGGGCGCCGGCTTGCTGCCTGCTGCCCGTGCCACAAAGGCGATGGGAGATCTGGCTGCCCTGAGATTGCTGCTGTTGCTACCAGAAGGCGCAATTGGCCGTCTGGCGGTGGTAGCGTGAGGCAGCAGCGCTGTGGTGACGGCCATTGTGGTGGTGAGCTAATGCAAATGACTGTAAATCGATCTAGTATGCGCAATTGACGCCGAGACGGCACTAAGGCCTTCATGGAGGGGAGTTTCACACAACGTCCATGCTGGCACCCCCGTAATCGTGAGAACCAGGACGCGAGGGCCACTCACGTTCATCTGCATTAGTGCCCACGTCTTGCAGCTCCGCCCCGGGCGTCTGTGGGCGCTATGAAGCCCACGCTGCCTCCCAGGCCCAAGCCCAAGGCGCCCAGGCCTTCTGGATCAAGCGGCCAGGTGTGGCAGAGTGCATGCAAGGCAGCCAGACGGGGAACGGGGCGGTGATCACATCCCGCTGCTGGCACCGTAGCTGTTCTGCCCTCCTCCGTGGCCCTGCAGCTGCGGGAAGTGCCCAGCGAGGCCAGCGGCGAGGCCACAGACAGCGAGATCATGCCTGCAGGGGAGGCCGCCGCGCCTCCTCCGCCGCCGGCCCCGCTGCCGCCCGGCCTGGCGGCGCTGCCGCCGCAGCACGCGGCAGCCATGCAGCAAGCCATGCAGGCGCTGGCCAGCGGGCAGCACCCGGAGCTGCTGCAGCAGGTGAGCACCAAGATGGGGCTGACGCCCGACCAGCTGCGGCAGACGGCGGCCGCCATCGGCTCCGGCTCCGACCAGGGCATTCCGTCAGAGGTGGTGCAGCGCGCGATGCAGCTGCAGTGGGCCATGCGCGGCGGCGCGCTGCCCCCCATGGGCCCCGCGGCAGCCTCCGCGGTGCCCCCCGGCATGCCGCCGGGCCTGCTGGGCTCCCTGGCAGCGGCCAACGGCGGCGGCGGCGGAGGCATGATGCTGCCGCCGGGGGCGTCCTCCGCGCCCGCCCCCAGCTCCGATGTGCTGCTTCTGGACAGCGAGGACCAGCAGGGCTGCTTCGACCTGTACCGCCGAGCGTACGGCCGCCACATGGACTTCATCTTTCCACCCGTCTACGTGGCGGCCGCCAGCCTGGCGCTCTGGACGCGCCTGCTGCCCTTCTGGCTCGCGCTCCTCCTGGTGCCCCTCGGCTTTGTGCTGGGCGTGCAGCTGGTGCTGGTCAAAGGCAAGCAGTGCTTGCTGGATGCCCGGGCGAGCGCGCCACTCTGCTGCCGCCCCTGCCACCGCCCTGAGGAGCTTGGGGCACCGGCTGGCCGGTGTGCTGCGAGTTGTGCCGCTGCTAGGCAGTACAGGCAGTACAGGCTACAGTGCTGTGCTGCAGCCTGTGCTGCTTCCTTTCTGCTCAGCGCCAGCTCCCGGCCCGTGATGGCCTGCAGGTGCCGGCATCCCGGCGCCGCTCGTCCCATTCTCGAGGCTGCCCGCAGCAATGGTGGCCAGCCTGGAAGTGCTGGCGGTCGCCACCTTCTTCTTGCAGGCAAGCTGATTCAAAAGCAGCTGCTTCTGCTGTCATACCTGGATCTGCGGCAGGAGCTCGCTTGGCCCAGGCATGCGTGCGCTGCTCAGCCTGTTCATGCATTGTCCATACGTTTGCATGCCTCGTTGCCTCCGCAGATGCAACCCTGGCTCACAGACAGGCCCTGGCAATGCCTCATCTTCACCGCGCTGTCGGCCACCTTTGCCGTACTGCACTACAGGTGTGCCGCGGGCTATTGGCTAATCCCTCTGCTTCCTGCCTGCCAGCCTGGGCGCTGGCTGCTGAGGGGAGGGCCCAGTTGCAGCGAGGCGGCCACCCTTTCTCACCCGCCTGCCCTGTCGTTGTTGTTGTGTTGCGTCGCTGAGTGCAGGAGCAGCAAGGTGGACCCCGGGTTTCTGGAGGCCAAGGGGCAGCCGGCGCCGCTGGCGCCCGCGCAGCGCATGATGCTGGCCTCGCAGGCACGCTATGGCTGGTGCTGCTGGCTGGTGCAGCGCCTGCTGTTTGGCTGCTGCTGCTGCCTGGTGTACTGCCTGATCCGCCTGCCGGGTTGGTCCTGCCTGCCTGCCATGCTGCGCGTGTTCTGGCCGAACCACCTCATTCCGCCACCTGCCCCCTGCCCCTGCCGCAGAACCCCTCGTGGTGCTACACATGCAACATCTACAAGCCCATCCGCTCCAAGCACTGCAGCACCTGCGACAGGCGAGCGCCGCGGGGCGGCCGCGCGGCAGCCGCCCTGGCTCCCGCCTTGGGCTGGCTGCTCCCCCGGACGACCCCCCGCAACCTGCCGTGCAAGCTCCGCCGCCCCACTCCTCCCCTGGACCTCGTTCTGCGGGCTGCCTGCTCCCGCCGCCGCCGCTGGCTCCGCTCCCACCACCGCCCCTCGCCCTGCTCCCGCTCCTGCTTGCGCCATGGTGCAGGTGCGTGGAGGAGTTTGACCACCACTGCCCCGTGGTGGGCAATTGCGTGGGGCTGGCCAACCGCCGCGCCTTCATGGGATACCTGCTGGCGCTGTGGGGCGCAGAGCTGCTGTGGCTGCAGCTGGCGGCGCGCTTCTGGCGCCGGTGAGTCGCGCGGCCGCTCGCAGCTCTGGTGGCGGCATGCCAGGTGGCGGCGTGCCGGGTGGCATTTATCCGGGACTGTTGTTTCATTGCAGCAATTGCTCGCACCTGCTCTGTTAGCGTGGGTGCCACGAGCTGCAGCATGCTCCTCTTCCGCTCTTCCCCACCCTGCCCTGACGCCGTGGGCCGCGCCCGGCCTCCCCACAACTGCAGTGCGGTGGGCACCCAGGTGCTGCACAGCCACAGCCTGGCTGGCGCGCTGCAAGTGGCGGCGAACATAGGCAGCCTGGCCCGCCTGTGGCCGGGCACCCTGTACGCATCGCTGGTGGTGGTGAGCGCACTGGGAGCTGGAGCCAGCTGGGCTGCCTGCCAAGCCGCGCCACCCCTGCCTCCTTTGCTGGCCCCTGGTGCCCTGGCTTGCCTGCTCCTGTGTGAGCCGGGCTTCCTCCCAAGCGCACATGCCCACCCATCTTCACC